TATACAGAATACTTTTGGCAAGAAAAATGGTAAAGCCTTGTTTACAATTTGAATATAGCTATTGAATTTCAGATCTAAGCTCTGAAGAGAGTCAGTAAGGTTTGTAAAAAGGTTTTGCTGGCATTTTGCTTCACCTAAAGTAAGTACCAAACTGAATTTCGAGCCCTGCACATGATCGTTGACCGAGGGAGGTGAGACACTTCAAGTTCTATTATAAATCTATGTCGGCCATGTTTGCCAAACGGCGGGTCATAAAATTACAAGCAGCCCGGTAAGTTCATATTTACCACGTCATAAAATGACATTCTTGTTGCGCAACAAACTTTTACAGCCAACCTCTTTAGACTCCGTAGCAGGCTTATATAGAACTGGGGGTTTGGTGGTCTTCGGCTGTTTTCTGATTAGTTCTAAAAAACGGAGGTAATTCAAGCAGGCCGGGTATGTTGTCTATATGCAATCAGAAAATAGCACATAAAAGCTCCCAAAGACCATGAAGACCCCAAAACCCCCAGTTTTTGGCATTGGCATGCTATGGAGGCTACAACCTCTTAACAGAGTAACACTAGTAATGACATTGTATGCCGATTTATGGTTGATACAGTAAGTGTTGGCATTGGGCCATAAAAACTGGCATAGTTCATATTTTCATTGTTGTTTCTAAGCAACTCAGTCTACATTTGATGCATAATAAAAGTAGATGCTAGTTGTGCAACAAACTTTAATAGCTAACATCTTAACACAGTAATACCAGGCGACATTGTTTGCCGATTTATAGCTTAACAGTGTTGGCAATGGGCCATAAGAACTGCCATACTGTCCCGAGCAAGTTCATATTTTCATTGTCGTTTCTAAGCAACTCAGTCTATCGGTAGCCAAAACGTTCTGTGTGTCGGCACTTCAGGGTGAAGGGGTCGCTAAGGTATAGCCAGGCTAGGTTTAAACCGATGGAAAATTATACACAGACTTCTCATAGCGCCACCAGACTAACAATTTGGGTTTAAATACAGTAAAATTTAGCATTAATACGCAGAATAATTGGCTAGGGGAGTTTAGCCACCGTATAGAGTTCAGTGCCCACAATTATTCCCCAATTTTTTTGCTGAATTCTACGATCTGTACCCCCATAGGAAGGTCTGGTGGAGGCTAGTTCATATTTTCCCAGCCGTTTCCAAGGAGATATCCATACATAGTCTACATAACGGTGCCCGCCGAAACCTTTTCTATGCGAGGATTTCAGATAGCCTTTGTGGCTTAGCCTGTTACTAAATGGTCTAAGAACTAGTGCGAACACAATGACTTACCTTGGCGACCAAGCGGCGTCTAAGACTCAATGATAAACTTGAGAAAGCTTGAAGTATTCCGATGGTCAGTTCAGAACGCCGGCCGTTTCTTAAGACACGACCGCGGCACCTGGACTCTCCCTTTGTCTGGTGGTTAAGATCTCGGCGTTAAGACCTTAGCACACGGCTGTATCGGTATGTAATAACTCCGTTAGCGCATGTCGTCTCTGTGCGTTGCCCGGTGTCGAGCCAAATACGTGATCCTGCCAAATACATGACTCCGACACTACTTGGGGGTTTCCAATATACCTCATTGTACTCTCTAGGACTACAGTAGAGCGTAGCTTAGAACATACGTATAGAGATGTACTAGGTCTTTAGCTCTATTCAACATTTTGCCAGACATGATACTATATGTAGAATCTTGATAGACTCATATCTGACCAGCTAGTAATCTTGTTATTATCTACCATACATTGTACCTGTTACAATCGTTGTGCAATAAACTTTGACTTGACTTGAATATACTTAAGACAAGGGGTGGGAGGGTTTTTTGGTCGTGATGTGGGAGACTAAACCTAACCTAACTAACCCCAATCGCAAGTCTAACCACCTGTTACACTGATGATCTTTTAAATTAATTTTTTTTTATAAATCTACTGTAAAATCAGCACAATTTAGTCTTGATGACTACGAAGTTGATTGTACAATAAAGTTTGAAAGTAACCCTAGCCCTCAACAATGATCCCAACCCTTACCCTAACACCAACCCTTACCCTAATACCCACCTTAACTCTACCTAACCCTAACCCAACTCTAACTCTATTATTATTAAACCCTAGCCCTAACCCTTTTAAACTCTAATACCCGCACAAAATTAAAACCCTTCTACCAACCGTAACCCTAACTCTACTACCAACCCTAACCTTAGCCCTAAACACCTGACCTCTCACGTATGTGGCAGCTCAAGGATTTGGCTCCACACCGGGCGTCACTCAGGACTTTGTCCCCGTCATCACCAGGCTGACAGCCATTCATGCAGGCTGAATGGCACCGAGAAATAAAGTGAGCTAATAGCACGATTCAAGGACCAGCGCCAACAATAAGGAGGGCAGGGGTGTGTTGTCCTAAGCCTAGCGCCGGACGCCGGCAAGCCCCGTGTTTGGGAAAACTTGTTTGCAACGGTCTTAGTTTCCAAAGGAACGGCTAGCCGGCCTCTACCAGGCTTCGGGAGGCGGCTGGAAAGAGTAGAAATCGGCCAAATAGAGAGTTAACATACCAGTGGAGTTGGTCCGCTAGAGATCACAGTTTTCGAGCAAACTACAATGTACTAGACTGATGCTCTGATGGACCAACTCCCCTAGCATATACGCATGTAACCTCTTAGTCTCCGTAGCAGACTTATAGAACTGGGGGTTTGGTGGTCTTCGGCTGTTTTCTGATTAGCCCAGTTCTAAAAACGGGGGTATTTCAACCAGGCCGAGTATGTTGTCTATATGCAAATCAGAAAATAGCACATAAAAGCTCCCAAAGACCTGCAAAACCCCCAGTTTTTGGTATGCCATGGAGGCTACATGTAGTAACCTCTCTATTTGGCCGATTTCTACTCTTCCCAGTTGCCTCCCGAAGCCTGGTACAGGCTAAGGGGCGGCTTTTTCAGGCCCTAAGCCCCTTGATTAAGTTCTGTGGAAAGTTATTGCGCGGGGAGCGATTAGAGTGTGGGAGTACTTGGCAACTTTATCCGGCAGGTAACCAAAACAGACGCGGCAAACGGCGCAGGTGGACGGGAGGGGGAGTGGCCTGGGTAGCCAGGAACTACTCTCCAAGGAGAGGTTTAGGCTTTTGGCGTGTTTTAGGCGTTTTATTTAACGGGCTTTCTTTTCTTTTTTGTATCTATTCTTTACGCCAGCTGTCTGGTAAATAGACGAATGAAAAAGGGTGTCCGAATGCAATTGACCTTAATAAAAGGCCTATCAAACACCTTCAAAAGGGTACATACACACACACGCAGACACACACTGACACTCACAGACAGACAGACAGACAGACAGACACACACACACACACACACACACACACACACACACACACATTGAGTCTTGAATCTGTAATGTTATAGACAAGTTAAATCTCTTCTGAACATGCCATAAATGCCAGTAAGACTTCTCCATGTAAAATACATTGTATATAGATCAAAAAGGTACACATCGTGCGAGGCAAGACTGTGAAAATTACCAGTGGTAGAAACCACACAGTTCTGGTGTGTAGCACGGCACACATACGGAGTGATACACAATTATACAGAAATCATTACACATTCGAGGTTTTGTTCATAAACCACAAGTTATAGGCACTTGTTATAAGATCATAATAAAATAGGTCATAAACAATGTTCAATCTAAGGTATGTTAACATAATTATGTTACATCTTATGGTTAAATTTACATCAGTATGGGACATTGCAATATATACAATTCAAATCACACTTGAACACATGGATAAATCGCTTAAAGATTAGCAGAATGGTTCACAAGTTAATAAAAGTCCTAAAATCACTGCTTCCCTGACTAAAATAGTCCAAGAAAATGCTTTTCTGAAATGCATGCTATAGTCTGTGGTAAGTGTATGTACTAGATGGGTTATTGCACAATATACATGTAGTAAGGTCTGGTCAGTTGCACCAAAATTTAATCGTTGTAGATGTGTATATGTCTTCAACACTTCACACCAGTAATAAAATGTTTTATCAAGTGATGTCATCTTGATTATACCGATTAAGAAATACATTGTAAAAAGTATAATTGTTTTATCAGCAAAAATATTGTTGTTATTTCTTGACCAGTGGGTTTTAAAAATTGCATATATGGGTATTTCTTCCATTATAATGCATGACAAATTTACAATCAGAAAATGCTTATTAACTGCTCTTCTTTACAAATGACAACAATTTGGACAATTTTGTTCGTAGTTTCTCTAAAACTATATACAGCACAAGTTTACGTTCATTTTGCATCAATGGTATTAAAATTCTGCATTCAAGTTGAGGCAGGAAACTATCAGAGACACTAGAGTTTCGAAATTTCTCAAAAAGTTAAAAATCTAACATTATGTCATTCTGAATTTCAGAATCTAATGAAATATGGTAATTTTTAAGTTCAGTGTTCCCTTAAAACTGATTTTGCAAAGACAGAATGCTGAAAATACATAATACTAAGTATTCCACTTCTGATTACTAGTATATTTTTAAAGGCAGTTAGGTAGGAAAATTTTGGAGTTAAGATTTACATGTAAGTCTTTTTTTGTTTGCACATATGCTGAGAGCTTTACTTATGGCACAGTGTAACAGCACCCTCTATTAAATTTCAATGGCACTGCAGGTTGAGTGTAAAGTAACTTCCACAGAAGATATATTGCTCTTCAAAGCACCAAGTTTCCTGAGAGGCACCAACATGCTGAAAAGGATGCACACCTTATAGTTGGGGGGGGGGGGAGGAAATCTTAAAAACAATCGTTTAGAGGAAAAGGAGACAAGATAAAATACATTTTGTAGCCAAACAAACTTACTTTTTACAAATAGTGTTTGTTTAAGTCTCCTATCATCAAATTTCGATCCTTTCAACAACTGATTTTGGCACAGGACATGGCAATAAATTTGAACATTTTCAAAATTTCACTTCGACCAATCAGGTTCGAGGTTCTCCCCTCTTGACCAATCATCAATCAGTAATCCTGGGGCGGGGCTCCAACAGCCTCATGCTGTTGCCTAGCAGCCATCGCCATGGCGAACGCGTCCTGACCCCCCTGGTCAGGTGACTTAGCCGGGGAGGCTGGTTGGTTGTTAGGCGTCGCCCCTGACGACGTCGGTCGCTGGGGACTGGCTGACGTCCGGTTGGGGTTCTGGGAGCCATCTTTCTTAGGGGACGCGTCTTGGAGCATCTTGAGTAGGAACTGCTTGTCTTTCCCCTCCTGGAGTGATAGGGATAAAAATCACTTTGTTTCACTTGACATTGTAAGGATTTTGGATACTGAACAAGACTATTTCTTGAGAGGGGTGAAAGAAGCTATTTACATTAGGGTCCACCACCCTTCACTTTATTAAACCGCGACGGGGGCCGACATCGTCTACCAGATACCTGTTGACATTACACTTCAAAGAAGCCACATGACAAGCCTCACTGGGTCAGTCTACTGAGGAAGACCAGAGTGACTGGTCGAAAGCTCTCTGAGGTGAGAGAACTTTTTTGTGTTAGATCTAAAGTTTTAACTCTAAACAAGTCATGTAACTACAAACACAGATGAACCTTCATGACATGATAATGGCTTAGGGACTGTACGATATTTACCGGGGAGGGGGGGCCGGTCGTCCGGGGGTAGCGTAAAAAATTTTTTCCTAGGCCCTCGCCCCAGGTCAAAAAATTTTTTCCTAGGCCCTCCCCCCGCCTCAAAAAAATTTTCCTTAGGCCCTCCCCCCGGTGTGAATCATAGAGAGTGAAATTTCGTATGGGGAGGACGAGATTTTGATTGAAAATTTTCCCCGCATGAAGCGCCGAAGGCGCTAGCCATCGCGCCGCACGCGCCACTAGAGCCCGAGTAGGCCCGGCTTTTGGGCGGGGGGGGGGGCATGTCCCCCCCGGAAAAAATTTGAATTTCAACCCATGTTTTGCATGTTGAGGGGCAAATTTGGCAGCACAAATTTCGCTGGTACATCGAGCTATTAAGTCAGTAACATTACGGTCAGTCAGTGTAATCGAAATAAATCTAGCCTACCTTTCGTCCACGAACTTCTTCCGCGTCAATTTTATTACAAACAGGGAAACAATATTGCCAAGTTACGTGTTGTTTTCAATTAACTTTGGAGGGACATAGATATAAATGTTAAAATAGTCCTTGGTTAAAAAAAATACCAAATTAATCCGTCGACATGTCCGACATCCACGCCGAGAAGTTTGAGCGAGTTGCGAGGCGGGTCACCTTTGGCGACGCACACACACCACTGGGAAGGGTGCGTTGAACGGCGAAAATTAATTTTCAAAATCTTCCGACAAGCCTTCCCTACATTTTTGATCGGTATCGTTTCGATAGCCGCGATTGACACGACTTTAATCCATGTAATTTGGCTGTGTAGTCCAGTTTCGCCGATTCTGGCGAAAATGCAAGATTTTGAAGAGGACTGTGGGAGATTTGGGCGAATACATTTATTTTGATAGGGATGGATATTATTGGAACGTAAAATTCTGCCGATTCCAATGACCGGCAAATCGCTACGATATGTATTGGACAGACGTTAATCATGTTTTGAAAGTGTGTAAAAATGTTGTAGAGTTAAAGGGATCTTGGAAAACATTTTTACCTAGGCCCTCCCCCAAATTAAAATATTTTTTCCTAGGCCCTCCCCCCGGCTCAAATTTTTTTCCTAGGCCCTCCCCCCTCAGACGACCGGCCCTCCCCCCCCGGTAAATATCGTACAGTCCCTTACCTCTGAGATCTGGTGCTTGAGACGTTCCACGAGGATCTTGTGGCTGGCTGACAGCTTTGCATAGTAGTACACCAACAAGCTGGGGAGAAAGGGAGTGGTTATATAGGAAAACACACACACAATCATAGGACAAAATAGAGAATGATATCAATCAAATGCATGTACCAGTATGTATGATGTTTGTATGATACTGCCAATGATGATGTATGTACAAACTAAAACATAACACGCACAAAAAATTAGCCTACAGCTGCTTTTTCTGTGTCTTCTAAGTCTCACCATAGGATGCACATGCCTGCCCCTTTTGTCTACAAAGAGTACTTTCAATGAAATTCCCAAGAAGTCTTACCATGTAAGATGCACAAGACAATTACATGATTGTATGCCTGCCCATTTTGAAGAAAACTCTCACTGATATTCAAAAAGTCTTAAAAGAAGATGCACATTCAAGACAAAATCCTGCCCGTTCATCTAGAAGAGTACTTTGAATTAAATTATAATAAAGAAATATCAGTCTCACCATAAGATGCAGACCACGAATGCCCTGCAGTAGCCGGACCCGATGACATCCACCACTTCTTTGATCCAGCTCAGGTTGGCCTGGCGCGACCACACGTCCAGCAGGTTCAACACAGACTGGTAACTGTTAGCCAGGCCCCTGGGGAAACAAGTGTGAGAGGCTAGGGGTTATGCACAGTACTGTTACAGTAGCTTAGTTATTGCTGTCACAGTGTCAGCGATATCTTTTAAGTCTACTGACACTGTGACAGCAATAACTAAGCTAGCGGCAGACCCCAGGCCTACAGAAAAAAAAAAAACCCAGGGTTATCAGCAAGAGTTAACACACTCTGGTAACTTAGCCAGGCCCCTATAGGGAAACAATGTGGGAGGGTTTATCTACAGCCTAAAGAACTTATCACTTACATGTATGTACAGTAGCCATATAAGGGTTCACTTACAGTACACTACAGTTATCACACTCTGGTAACTGTTAGCTAGGCCCCTACAGAAATAACATGTGGGGGGTTATCCACTGTAGACTAGAGGTTCAACACACTCTGGCAACTGTTAGCCAGGCCCCTGGGGAGAAACAAAGTTTTAGAGGATATACACAGTGGACTTATATATATATATATATCACTTACACTACACTAAAGAGTTATCACTGACAGTACACTAAAGGTTATCACTCTGCAGAAACAAGGTGTGGGGGGCTATCAGTAGTAGACTAGTGGATCACAGAAACACACACACATGCAGAGATAGAATTAAAAGTATCAAGTATCTGAGCAAACAATTTAGTAAAAGCATGACATACCTAAAAGGTCCACAGTCAGTTGAGGGCTTGATTCTGAAACAAAATCAGAAAGACATAAATATTCAGTAACGTCTAACCCTCATAAAGTCGGGAAAAATAGATGCTAAAAGAGATAGATAGATAGAGAGTAAGTAATCGAACTGGCTTGGCTATCTCCGTCTATAGTACATGACTGTATTATGTTAAGAGACCTAACATCCAGGCCCTATCTATTTACAATGGTTAGCATAATTATTACTTACGCGAAGATGCTGTAGCCCACGGCTGCCAGTGCGATGAAGAACGTGAGTAGGAGGATGGTGAGGAAGATGGTGGTGGCCTGAGCTGCTCGCCACGCTTTGCTCGATGCTCGACAGTTCATCAATACACTGATCTGTGCGGGGACAGAGTCAAACTTAGTCAAGCTACCACCTGTCAGAGGTAGGCAACTGCAGTCGCAAGCCACATTAGAAAAGTCCCGTCCAATTTTACCTACTTGTAGTTAAGACCCTGTCCCAGGCAGGCAACTGTCTTCCCCAGCCAGAGGACACTTTTTGTCAGGGCACTCAGATCTTTCTCAGCAGGCAATATTGATTGAAAGAAGCACCCAGCCCAGAAACATTACCACAGGTGTAAACTACAGACTTAGTGTAATTTTCAGGTTAACACCATCATGGTAAATTGTACTAAAAGACAGATGTAATAAATCAAAATCTTGAACAGATATACATCAGTGCAACACACACACACACACACACATGTATATAATAATTTTATATTATGTTATGGGATGATTCAACTTTGACAATCCAGTTTTACTGCCCTAGAATCTTGACTCACCCTTTTGACATAGAAGAAGACGAAGAGTTTGAACATGCAGATGATCGGCAGCAGTGGGGAGAAGAACGCCCCCAACCTGTCAGGAGAGGAAGTGCAGCAACATTCAGTACAGTACATTATACATAACTAATTAGGGTCTACATAACGTCCAATCCACAAATAGTATACCCACCTCTACTAACAAAAAACATGAAATTCTTTGATGAAATGTAGTAAGTTACCAAGCTCAATCCTGATGCGTAAAACATATATGCCATAATCCTTGGTTTCTTAAGTGCAGCATATTTTTCTTGAAGATAACGTTATTCCTCCTACCTAACCTTCATCAGGGAGAACAAGGTAAAAGTACCAGCTTCATATGTGATATTTACCAATCCGTAGTTTCCAAATGTGTTGGAAAATATATCATTAGTCTGCAACGGGCAAAATTCTGATGCAACGTTGACCAAACATAAAATGAAAACTGAGAAATGCTGGCTTCATGCAGGCGCAGTATGTTTTGCCGATCTGCTGTGCAGCACACACTTACAAGCAGAGCCCCTGTGCATAGATATACATTGTACATAATTATAGTTACATACAAACATAGTACATGTATTACATAACATACACACATGTATACATGATATGCCGTTCCTTACCAGCAGAGCCCCTGTGCGTAAATGAGATCCAGCACATTACGAGCGATGTCGAACTCTGGCTTCCCCAGGTTCTTACAGCAACACTTAGTAAACAGACTGGAGGGGGAGGAATAGGAACAGGTGGTTGGATTCCATTCTGCTGTTTTACTAGACTGAGTATATATAAACAGTTATAGAACAGTCACAGATGCCATATGGAGATGTCTAAGTTCACTGATACTCACATGTAATTCATTTTAAAGTTGTTTTCTAAATGTCAATGATGTCCAATACTTTATGACAACATCAAAGCTTTTTAATCACATTTGTTACAAAATTTTTTCTTGGCCAGTATCTGTCACCCAAATCATACTAACTTTACTTTACTTTATCCAGCTGCTTTACTTTATTTGTCACCCTAATGCCCCCAAAAAATGATCATTTACTTCTGAATATCTTCCCAGAAAATTTCATGTTTTGGAAAAAAAATGCTGCCCAGTTGTACAACTCACTTCCTGATGAACTCGGAGATGAAAGTGGTCAGCAGCAGGAAAACGAAGTCCACCAGGACCAGACGGTAAATCTCCTGTCCCACGTACGTCTCCCAACACGCCTGGACATGGAAACAACAAATACTTAGTCTATTAGTGGCAATAGCCTAATCTCTAAGCAGATTCTGTAGGACACAGGGGAGTGTGTTGGCCATCTGTAACCATTTTCTGCCCCATGATGGCTTATTGGATGCTGCCTGGCCAATTTGAATCTACTGTCTTGTTAAGTCACCCAAAGACTCTGCTTGGAGATCTGAGCAATAGCCCATACCTGGGTTGAAATCACAACCTGCATGTGTTATTGCAGGTAAAATTGGGGCTGTGCACGCATTTCTGATGTCTACCTGCACCTATTACCGACTGGTGTAGAATATTAGATGATGAACATTAAAGAAGATATCTGCAAACTGAAGCTTCAAAAGGCTGACCCACAGGACAGAATCAGCTGGAGAGCAGCAATCAGGCCAGGGCGACATTCCACGTCCAACCCTCGAGCAACGGGGACCATGAGACGTTAAACGGATAGTGAGTGTGTGAGTGTGGCAATGGTTTCTGAACAGAAAATGATGCCGTAAACTCACCAGGTTGCTGGCGTCGCCGCTGATTTTGTTGAGCCAGAACCACAGTAGCACAACCAGGATGGCCCACTTCAGCAGGATGGTTCTGGACAGAAATACAAAAACTTGACATCAACAATTGCAAGTCATTTTTTTTACTTGTTCTAGACAGGTATGAAAATAAGCGGATATAGAGTGGCAGAATTATGCAATTCAACTGAAGATACTGCGATCAATTATCATACTGGTGCAAAAAAAAGTCCTGGAGAAGGACAGCAAGCTTTGTTTCCAATCTGTTTCAAATCCAAAGGTTTGTGCCAAGGATACTTGTACCTCTCAAATACTATTACCAGGGTACAAGAAATACAGAATATTTTTAATTTAACTACTAATCTTAAAAAAATAAAACCTAGTCATCACATAGTTATTAAAATAAAACCTAGTCATCACTTAGTTATTAAAATAAAACCTAGTCATCACTTAGTTATTAACTTAAAGATAAAACCTAGTCATCACTTAGAAATCTGCTATTATTTCAACATTATCACAACAGCGAAGAAATGTCCTAAGCACCTGAATATGCTGATGTAGAGCTCATGCCTTGGGTACTTGTACTTCTCCAGAAAACTACCAAAAAATTACTCTCCAAGCAGAGGTTTGGGTTATTTTATGTTTTTTTTTTTTGTGAAAGAAAAATTCCAATGCAAAAAAAGAAACCCCGATAGAAAAGTGTAAAAACACACAAAAAACAACCCCAAACCCAACCCTCTGCTTGGAGAGTACAAAAAATGCCTTAGACTTTAGGGTTTCTCACCTGAAGATGCTGATGTAGAGCTCGTGCCGTGGGTACTTGTACTTCTCAATGCTGCCCAGGATGCTGAATGCGAAGGGCAGGAGGAAGTTGATAGCCGAGATGCAGAGAGGCATCGCCAGGAGACGCAGGGCGTCCGTCGCGCTTCCGGCCGCAAGGTTCTGGAGAGGAGAGGACAACACAATGTTTCTTTTATTAGGCCATGTTGATTTGATTATATGGATGACATCCTCTGGGAACCCCAAAACTGATGCGCGCGTGCGAATAAAAAAAAAAAGTTTTGCAAAAAAAAAGTTGCCTTCATTATGAAATCTACGTGGTCATGAAGGTTGAACAAATGACACAGAGTATGGTATGGCGAATAATCTACCCTTCAAATTAATTTCTTTACATTTTCGTCTTTTTTGTTTGATTTTGGCATTCTACCACAATGGTATCGTTTTCCAACATTTTTTGTTTGCAATTTACGGTATATATTTGCTCATTTTGCAACTGTTTTGTACGATTGTATGGTTAAAACTTTTTTTTTTGGAAACGGCCAAAAATTCATGCGCGCGTGGATGTCATCCATATAATCAAATCAACATGGCCTTACATGTATGTTTACCTTTGCCGGAGGAAATCATAATTTTTTTTGCTTTGTTTTTTCCTCTTCTTCTTCTCAGTCAATGACCTGGACCAGATGTCTGTCACCATGGTAACTAGTGCTGTAGCAGACACCTTGAGGTGTTGGGCTACATACATGTATTGTAGCAGGACAGAGCTTAGCCTAGAGGAGGTTGCTCACCACATATTATAATGAATGTGTGTGAGTAACAATGAATAGAGCAGTAGTTTGTAAGGCTAGGTAAACATCATGCAATTGCTTTGCAAATGTTACTTTTCCAGGTGTATCTTAATTTTCAGACAGATGGTCTTTGAAAGGTACAAAAGCTGAGCACTAACGTCACTGATTGCTTGGATGATCGTTGTGTTCAGCCTATCTGCGATGAAGAAGACGAGGTAACACGATCCGCCCAGCATGGCGAAGTACAGCAGCCAGGTACAGATGCGAGTCATCACCCGGCAGCACCGCTGGCCTCCAGTCAGCTCCTGTGCCTGCTTGTGGGTCTCTGCTAGTAATTCCTACAGGGGGGAGGAAAAGGTTGGCGATTTACGAGATTTGCAACACAAACCAACGAACATACCAACTTGGTGTTGACAGTTGACTGTAGGAGGGTGCTGTAGCAGTGTACGGGTGACCCGGGGGTGCAGTATGTGTCTTCCTACCTGGGATGCACCAGCTCACATGTCAGGTTCAAAATCAGTGTGTTTTTGCTGCATTTAGTTGTCTTACCATGACTTTTAGTTTGCATTCAACAGCTACTTGTTATCAGAATGGTGACATTGTTGATCAGATTCTGTTAAAAGGAGTAGAAGTTGTTTTTCTTTTCTATTAGTAATCAGACAATTACAAAATCATGTGGCTTGCTGAAGGGAATGGTGAGTTCATGTATGGTACAATCATGTTTTTTATTATTGACTACAACTCAAACATACACAAGCCACTGAAACACTCTCATACACCCCCATCAAAGAGCTAAACAAGCCAGTAAATCGTCAGAATCTGGTAAGTTGACCGTACCACAATCTCTGTGTAGACGCTCTTGTGCCTGAGCTTGGCCGCCTCCTTCTCCGTGATGCCGAAGTCCCAGGATGTGAAGATCTTGGCGACAAACTGGCTCTTCACGAAGCTGGCCTCCACGTAGTTCGTCCGGAAGGATGAAGACATTCTGGGAGCAACACAAGAAAAATAGACATTTTATAATTGGTAACTAAAATATTTTATTGAAGCTTTTTTTCCTCCTGTCTGTATCTTCATCAATGCAAAATGAAGATACAAATGTATGCTCAATGCTCAATGTGCACCAAAGCTAGGTTTTAATTTACAGTCCTGGTTTTTTTAAACGTAACAGTATCAATTTTGGACACTAGGGCAGCCAGCACTGGGCAACTCACCTCTGGCTGGTTGGGAACGTATATAAGGAGGAAGTACATTGAATATATTGGCCTACATTGTAGATAATTATAAATGTACAATGTCTTGAGGCAGTATAAGTATCATGTATTGACCTAGATAAAAGTATAAGGAGGAAGTGGCCTAGATATACCTGTCAGATATAACCCCTTTAGGCAGTATATTATATAAGGAGGAAGTACATAATTTAATGTATATTAATGTATTGGCCTAGACATACAGATATTGTAGCATATGACACACCCACCTGTTTAAAGTTAAAACTTTTGGTCCAACACAAAGAAATGTTCTCACATAGAGCTTTCGACCAGTCACTCTGGTCTTCCTAAGTAGACTGACCCAGTGAGACTTGTCATGTGGCTTCACTTAAGTGTGGCGTCAACACTGGGTTTACCAGATACCATGACAGATAAAAGTATTTCCAGCCTTGCGTCATCAGGACATGACATAAGCATTAGAACACGCACCTGTGTACAAGTATGATGAGGCAGAGTAGGAAGTACCCCCCTCCCGCACACAGGTTTCTCGCTCATTAAAGCCACCAGCCCAGCTAAGTGTATGTCACTTATTCTAAATTACTTAGAGAAAAGTGTGCAGATAATTTAAACATATGAAATCTGTACCTGTGCACGAGTATGATGAGGCAGAGTAGGAAGTACCCCCCTCCGGCACACAGGTAGGCCAGCTGCATGTTGTACATTAACCCTGGGTTCTGTTTGATCGTAGTGTTGGTGTAGTAGCCATAGTACAGCTCTGTGTTTTCAAACCAACCCTGGAGGGGGGGGGCAAAAGAATTATAGCAATTTAATATTTACACAACAGCAAGCATTGTGACTACTACTTCTGATTCAGAAGTGAAACTCTACCTCGAATGAAAGCTCATATGCCGGTAGAATCCATAGAGTTTGAGCTTTGTTCCAACACAAAAAGTAAACTCACCAAAATTTTCGATCAATCTCGTCAACCTTCGTGTGATACGTGATGCACTCTCTGACTCTCTGGAAGTTGGAAATGCGATGATGTCAGGAGCGCATTAAATGGAGTCTTCCCGACACTTTTGAAGATGCACTCCTGACATCATTACGTTTCCGACTTTCGGAGAGTCACAAGTCACAAGTATGCCTGCAAGTGTTTAACTCACCGCCCCTATGAGCAGCTATATAAATATCCCTGTAAAGTTAGCGTCCTTGTAAGAGAGGCTCGGCTGGTACACCAGCTCTATCCCAGTGTGAGTGGATCAAACATGATAGTCTAGTCTTATGTAGCTTGTACTTACCTGGTAGTATACTTAATACTTACTGTTACAGTACCAAACTGGACAGATGTGTTACTGGTTTACCATCATTGCAAAACAACTGTAAAACGCCCATGAGCAAACCTGTAAGTCTGGTCTTAGCTTGTAAAAATGGTGTGTTATCTGTGTGTTACTAGCTATGCCAAACAAGTGTTTAACTCACTGCGCCAGTGAGCAGCTCTATCCCTGTGAAGCTAGCGTTGTTGACAGTCGGGCTCGGCTGGTACACCAGCTGTGGGATCGTGATGAAGCCGAAACTCAGCACGAATAACGGAACATTCAGCAGGAACAACGTCTTCAAGAAGATGAAGTAAGACAAGATGCCGGTGCCGAAGAAACCCTCGATCTTCTTGAGGTGGCTGCGCCACAGGACGAAGATGTAGCGAAGCTCGGCGATCTTGCTTAAGAAGTGTCGCCACGCCTGTTGGGTAGGGAAAGGAAAGAAATAATTTTTTCAATATTTACTCAAAATAATGTAATAATTATAATCATCAATACAATGGTGGAAAAAGATAAGAAATGGTTCAATGGGTTATCATATGATATAAATTATATATTAACAACAAGAGACAAAAATGAAATCTGTATCAGTCTGCATCTGTATAGCAGGTACAATTGACCTGTGGCGTAACACACCAGCTTCGCAGGCACGCGGCGCAGCGGCAGCTACTTATATTACACTGAACCACCTGTTACACTTAACCTCCACAAATCTAATTAACAGTACTTGGTGGCAGTGAGTTCCACTCTATGATACATGTAGTTCTAGGGATGGCAGCATCACCCATCTATATAGGCACTCAACTTTGCATCAGTGTCTAAGGATCACTTTAAAGAGAAACCTGACCACCAACCAGCTAATTAAATTTGTACAAAACAGCCATTATTTCGATAAGATGTGAGAAAGCAGGTCCAACTTACATAGGTCAGGTTGGAACACCAGATGGTGCACTTTCCCACTTTCTTTTCCTTCCTCTTTTTCGATTCCCTCTCCACTCGGTCCCTAGAAGGCAGGAAAATAATAAAAAAAATTTTTTAATTAGTCTGTTAGAATGGCATTGTGCTTGTGGGAATAACCAGGCCCTGAATATGACCAGGGTCTGTCTCCTGTGCCCCAAGAGACTGACATGATTTTGCCTCAAAAGATTTCCTCAGAGGATAGATTGACTTCAAGCGCTAAATGTTCTGGTTGCATGCCAACAACTAAAATTTAAAACTCCATTCTTGTGCCCTGTAACAGTATACGGCCTGCCTGGCTTGTCAAATTGTCCTGGGAACAGGGTTTTGTCAGTCTATTTGATGCATTGGCAAACATTGTTACGCAACAGTCAAGTACTAGTGGGCAGAGTGGACTAGCCCCCTGTTGTTACACTGTAGTGATTGCACAAATGTGTGGCCTAAGGGCTAAAGAAACAGAGATGGGCACAGACCTACATGTATGCACCACAGGGTTAAAAAATGTGACAGGATAATTTGGCCTTCATTCTTGTCAAATTGTCCTGGGAACAGTGTTTTGTCAGTCTATTTGATGCATAATTGCCAAACGGCTATGCAACAGTCAGACTACCCCCTGCTGTAGTGGTTGCACAAAATTTAATGTGTGGCCTAAGGGCTAAAGAAACGGAGATAGGCACAGACCTATGCACCACAGGTGCAAGAAGGAACTTATTATAATAAACAAACTTTCAGAGGGTTAAAAACTAAGTCAGAGACAAATAAAAAGCCTCATGCTCACCTGACTTTCCTCTTAGCAGACATCCCTGAGGCCATCCCTTTGATTGCTTCCTCCCTCCGCAGCCTATTGTATAAATTGTATATTGAGTGATGTTTCTAACATTTGTAATTTCTTGTACAATAGACGTTCACAATCAAATGTACTCAGCTTTTATGTGAACAGCACGATTGTGTACAAAATGTTTGTAAGTTTGTTTGAACTATTCTTTATTCATGAGAAGCTCAAATTGGCCCCCCTTTTATTACACAAGTGAGAGCTGGCATATGGTTTGTGTCTGTTCGTTTTGTCCATTTTTCATTTCTGTTACAACTTTAAAGAGTCTCTTACAGTAAGACAAAGTTGGGGCCATGTATGTGTCTGGTGGTAGCATAGACTGTTGCAGACATGGTGACCATCGCAAATTGCAAGAAACAATGAAGAAAAGAGACCTGGCAGCCTCCGTATCCTCCATCAGATCCTCATCTGCGATGATCTCGTCTGCGATGTACGCTGTCGGACTCATCACTGCTTCGTGCGCCGACGGACCCGCCCGCAAGGTGGGGTGTCGCGACTTTCGACGCCGCATGCTCGACCTTTTCCGCAAGACCTGGTCCTCGGACATGCTGGCAGCTACGTGAGCGTAGGAACGTCCCAATGTACCTGATGGTTGAAAAACAAAGTATTCAGTGAAGAAGGAAGAATAACAAGACCTGAATACAGTCAAACCTCTACAAGTGACCACCTCTACATAAGGACTTATGAGCTGGTCAATGTGACCACACACTTTTTGCACACCATATTGGCACAAGCATTAAGAATCTTGTCTGTGGTTTGAAACAACCCACATAGACCTGATTATGTCCACCCTGAGTGATCTTCTTGGTGTCACTGAGTTTTGACTGTACACAAGTCAATAGTAAATCTATCATGCACAATGTGTATAAATTACCACTGTGCAGCAATGTGTGTGTATAACCTCCCTAAAGTACCTGGTCAAAAAACCGAGAGTTTGATAAAGTACACTTCAACAGTAAGAGGCCCTACATGTAGATGTGCTACTCAAATGCTTGCAAATCTTTCCACACCATATGATTGACGTCATACATGTAAACATAAACAGTTTGAGCCACTCCTGAAACACTTTAAATTTCTTTCATCTAAATCTAGACTAGAGGCCACGGCCAGCCATCAAAATTCCAATGGCACTGGGGTTGCAATCCTTATTTACTAGAGGGCAATATATGCCATTGAACTGAATGATCAAGATCTCACAAGAGACCACCATAAGAATTAAAAGAGGAGTAACATGCCCTACCAGTCATGTTAAAAGCTGCCCAAACCATCAGTTCTCAATTAGGTTGTATGGGTACATGTACATGTACTTACCAACTGATGTTTTACTGGTGCACCACATTTTCTTTGCCTGAGCTATGTGATAGAAATGTTCTGTTCTAGATACTGCACCCAGGTAAACTGACATCGTATCTTGGTGGAAAACTGTGGCTGAACAAATGTCGCATAATCAAATGTGCTTCCATTCAGCACTTCTTCATCTAATTATGGTAAGATTACAAACTAGATTTTCGACCAACCGTGATTTGGTTAGCAACCCATTTTTGCTGGTGGTTTTATACGAGGTGCAAAATGTCAAATGATGACTGAGATCAAAGGTGTTTTAGGGGGTGATTTTGAATCTTATCTTTTTTATTAGTCAGTAAACTGCCATATGCCTATGATATGGTGTGGAGGTACGTATACTGTATAATGTAGCTGGTAAGTACACTGTGCATTGAGAACTGTTAGACCATCAATTTGTTACAATGTTACTTTTTAATAAGAAACATACTTTTTATGATAAAAAAGTAACATGAAATTGGACCTTCTGTGAGAAAGACTAAAAGATTCAGAAACTTTGAAAACATTCAAACTGGATGTAACTGACACGGAAATTGACAGACCGATGTACAAAGTTAACAAATAAATCTGACATGTAAATGACAGGGAAATACTGAGAAAGCTCAAACTTAAAAACAAAAAACTTTCAAAACATCCAATTAAATGTAACTGAAACTGAAACTGGCATACAAGCAAAAAAGACGTTGAACAAAAAAAAAAATTAGAAAACAGAAAGACAGACAGCTACATTGTGCAAACCTTCTAAAGAGTCGTCGGATGCTGTGCAACATTCAGTCAGTGCAATTGTCCAGCAAGGCAGAGCAAAACGAAAAAAAAATTAAAAAATCAGACTGGTGCATCTACATCTAGCTAGTATTTGCTACATAGAGGAAAAATATAGCAGCTTTGAAAAGTATGCAAAAAGGTATGTTATTATAATAAGTGAACTAAAATTGAATTAAACAACTGTAACAATACCTGATTTTTTAAGTTTTGCTATTATGTTCAAGGGACTGGTAAACGGAAAGATCATAAAATGTAAGAGAGAGCATCTATTACATGTGCCTAGAAAATAATTGACAACTGTTCTTTTTTACATAAATATAACTGGCCTGAAAATTTTTATTTTCAGCATTTTTGTATTTCTCATCGTCGTTATTCATCGTTTTAAAAGAAACTTGCTCCCTTACCGATCCGTTTGCTGGGTAGTTGGTCGGCGATGTTTCCCCCCCTGCCCCCTCCGTACTCCTGCCTGTATCTGTCCCGCCAGTATTCTTCCTGATCATCATCGTCATAGTAACCATCGGTGTAGGATCCGCGGCGGTCCACGTCTACTCGCACGTCGTTCACCGTGTGTCTGTCCCCTCTCCTGTCGTTATAGTCATCTTCATAGCCTTGGTTCACTGCAGAGGAAATTTGACATGTTATTTTCAATGTGCAACTACAATATATTATATCGCATCAGGGATATAGGGATTTTCTTTTACACAACTAGTAATGTCTCTTACCTTGCTTAAGTTTCGATGTATTAGATAAAGCGCCTTTCCCAAGGGCACAAGTCCGGTCATGTCATTAATTGTTAACTTCAGGGTCCTGTGCCAAACCATTACACCAGACAATGCATACAGGGGGCTAAGCACAGTACACATACATGTAGTTTCATGACAAATCTGTAGAAACACTAATAACTCTAATGATATGCTACACTACATCTATTGTTTACAAACGGAAGTACACATTGGGCTATGCTATCATTGAGTCTATCGTTTCTTCCTTCTTTTTAAAACAGGTGTATACAAACTCACAGAGTGTACATCCTTGTTATACAGTATTGTCAATGATACGTATTAAGAATAATATTGGAGATGAACCTACTAGTGGCCCATGGGATTATGAATCAGTTCGATGAATTCTGAAATAATTCGACGCTGAAACCTTGAGTGTGAATGGGGTCTAAGGGGGCATTCAATCAGGTGGTCCTTAATGCAGAGCTGTGGTCACTTGTGCAGGTTTAACTGACTTTTGGAGTTATTGACTGAACTGTGCTGGGTCCTAGTAGGCCATTAACCATTACCCCACACAACACCACTTATAATAAAATGGAGAAGAACTTACTGTGGCCCATGGGAATGGTCTCCACCCCAGGTGGGTATGGTGGGTAGTCCGGCTGGGTGTAGCCGTCATCATCATAGTCATCTCCGCTGTAGGAGTCGTGTTGGTAGCCCCTGTTCTGGTATGCCATGGCTGACCCCTACACCGTGCCTCTCTTTCCAAGAGACTCTCCGGGCTTGCTTTGAGTCACACCTTGTTCAGTTCTTCACCTGTAAAGACAAAATCAGAAACACCACAATCAGAAAGATGGTACGAGTAAAACCAGTCACATCAAGATCTTTTTTTTTGTGTGGTTCGGACACCTTGTAAGGATAATTCTGGTATGCCATGGTACCCTCTTCACTGTTCCTCTCTCTCTATAAGACTCCCTGGACCAGGATTTTAGCTAGGAGGGTGTCTCGGTGTACTCCTTGTACTAAAAAAAACAATAAATTGATGGACTCCCTACTTTTTGGTACGACACCCTAAAGATGCCCTAAGCCCTTACTTAAAAGATACAAAAATGATGTCGTAACAAAGGCAAAAAAACTTGCAATTGGCTGCAGCCTGACTGTATTCCTCAAAATTTGCACATCAAAATGCAGGAAGTACGTAGTGTTTTAAGCATTACGTATTTCAAAAAAGGCCCCACAACAAGCTTGTGCCTGCACCGCTTGCCAAAAATCCAAGCTACTGTAAGTAAAAGCCTGCCCTGGACTAATGTTTTGCGTCGCACCTATTCCAGCTTTTCACCTGTAAGAAAAACAGCCGGTCCATTTTATTTTGTCGCGGCCGCACTTAGAGAAATATTTATCCAGGGTGTTGCTGTGTTGTTGTACGAGTGTTGCCTCTCGTTGGCGAGTTAATAGCCTGAGACCAACAGGTCATGTTACATCCTTCTGAAACGCTTTCGGCGGATTAAGGGGTCAACATAAGTTGTCGTCAGGGCAAATGCAATTTTCTATGAAAAGGTGCTTAGCCTAATACTTACTGTATTAGCACTTTTTCATAGAAAATTGAAATTTGCCAGAATTTTTTAAGGATAGTGTGGCAAGACTGAAGACAAGGACTCATATCTTTCAGCGAATTAAGGGGTGACGGTCACGTTAAGTATAGTTGTCAGGGCAAGTCAGCACTTTTTCCTAGAAAACTGTAGTTTTCCAGAATTTTCTAGGATAATATGGCAAGACTATAGGGTTAAAGACCTTCTCTCCCAGTGGATTATGGTGTCACCTAATATAATAGCTGTTAGGGAATGAAATGCGTTAAAAAAAGCACTTTATTCCTAGAAAATTATAGTTGTTGCCAGAATTTTTAATGAACTATGTGACAAGTCTGTTGGCAAATAACCAATACTACTGGTAGGCCACAAGTAAGCTAATTTGCTTGAATTGATTAGATTAATTGATCGTTTGTGTTAGAAACCAATAATTTATTGATTTACTACCACAAATCTAACTCATTGACATTAATAACTTATTCCTCAGACAATGTAAAGATGTTGAAATTAAATAGATGTCAATAGAAGCTTAGTACCAGCAATTAGTCCATCAAAATTTGTTCCTAAAAATAAAGAAAATGGCGTTTCATAGGACCAAGATTGCAAAATTTTCCCTTATCCCTTGGTGCTCGACATGACATTACGTCAAACAAAATTGAGACGACAGAATAGAATTTCAGGCTGGCTGGAACACTGGTCACAGAGAGAATGATTAACAGGTGGTTGTTTTTTTACACCATCTTGAATTTCTCAAGTTCCTAGAAAGGCCGCCAAATCTTTGCAGAAAAACAAGCAATTCACAGGATGTTAGGCTTATGACATCATCAGAACAGTAACACAACACTGGTACATGTAACTTGTAAGTCTAATTGTCACGTAGGCATCTGGGTTTTTTTTTTCAAAAAAATTGCAAATTTCTATTTTTCTTGACATCTAATATTACTGTTATACCAAACAAATGAATCTATGTGTATGTCACAACACATGACGTCATCGATCACACTGGATATCAGGTTACATTTTGTACATCAGGAGATGGTAACCCGACACCCGGTACGTGTGTGTTTGTGTGCTAACACCAGCATGTTGTGTCAGAGCCCCAAAACAAACAGAGTCCGTATGTACCAGGCACAGCGGCTTCACTCTGGGTCACTACAATATCTGGATAGGTGGTCATTTATTATAGACAGGATTCTTAACACACACATACACACACACACATGCACACACACACACACACACACACACACACACAAATACACACACACACACATACACACACACACATGCACACACAAACACACACACACACACACACACAGACAGACATGCACACACAAATACACACACACACACATGCACACACAAACACACATGCACACGCAAAAACACACATACACACACACACATGCTTGTGTTAATGGGAAAAATTATCTAACTAAAGGGACCACCAAAAGTTAGTCACAATGGGCACTGGTGGCCATTTTGTGTACATGTATATGTACATGTAAAGATATGGTCAGTAACTTGACTTGTAAAGGTTTGACTTCTAAAAACCACTTGGGCACTTGTGTAAAATCCTGACAACAAACAGAGTCCGTATGTTCGAGGTACAGCGGCTTATTCTAGGTCACCACACCGTAGGAATCCACTCGAAAGGATAATTCACAGCAACGCAAAACACACAACAGTTACTGAACAGTTTTCAGGTGCCACTAACTTCTAATTTAGCTTAGACTACTAAAAAAATCTAAAAGGTGAAAAAATCATTTGAAATTTCCAGGATGTGGCCCTAATCTAAATATAAAATCTTTGGAATTCACTGATCTGAGTCATAATGCCCACAGGCTATTGATGAGTATACCTCAATAAAAGCAAAACAAAGTACTGTGAAAACTATCGAAAAAGCCCACTTGGGACCATTAAAATCTTGTCTTTTTGGACAGGTGGTCACTAACTACATTGTAATTATCTAAATTCTAAGAGACCACAAAAAGTGGCTACATTGGCATGCAGGAAGTCCTTATGTAGAGGTGGTCACTTGTACAGGTTTGACGTGCTAAAAACTTGTCGTAACTTTTTGAGTTCTTGAGTGTAACCAACCAACCAACTAAAACCAGCCCTGCAAAAGACATAACGTCCCTGGTTTAGGTTATGAGCCCTGCCAGTACCCTAAACTGCAGCTGACCTGTTGTACGTTGACAGCCCAACAAAACAAAGTCTGTTGTCTGATAAATATTTAAACATGGAGACTGGGAGGCATACAAAAATAGACCAGACAATTACTGAAAACAGTCAGGGTTGAAATAGTATTGTCTGATCACACCTTCAGGCAAACATACTTACACTGTTACAGAATATGAGAAGATGCACCTTTAGGCTAATTTGAGTTTTAGTAGTCAACATTTGTCCAGTACAATGTACTTGCAAAGTTGCATGGAAATTTTACCAATACTTATATAAGTAGATATTAGTGCATTAAGAGCATATATATGTAACGTTATATGTATAAGTACAACTGTATATTTAGGCTGCTTCAAGGGAAACAAAACAATGTGGCAAGATGGCTTTTACTAAGTTGTAGACAGTGCAACCACCTGTATGATTCTTTATACCTCCTGTAATTTCAAAACAGTAGTGGCACACCCATATTTTGCTTTTGAAAATAATACAAACGGTATGTAATTAAGTCTCCTGGCTCTCGGAATTTGAACCAGCACCAAACCCAGACCACCAGCTCGCGAACCCAACACATGTACACTAACCGCAAGGCCAAAAGGTCCAGACCTTTTAGACTGGCCAGTTGACGGGGCTTGAACCCCTGGGTGTAACACTTTTATTTTCAAACCTGTCTTGTCTGTGACCTGGCTCTCAGAATTCGAACCTGCGACAAACCCAGGCCACCAGCTCATGAACCAAACACACAACCCACAAGGCCAAAAGGTCCGGACCTTTTAGACTGTCCAGTTGGTGGTGCTTGAACCCCAGTGAAATACTTTCATTTTCAAACCTGTCATGTCTGTATCGCGAGCTTGAACAACAGCCCCAGGCTACAGACTAATTTATGAGGCGCCAATTTCGTGCACATGCATATACCACGTTGTAATACACAAAATGTTGACATATAGGCTCTACATGGTACTTTGGGCTAGTTGACTTGAAAAGGTAAGGCACAAATTTATGTGTACTTGACAGTAATTATGCTGTAAACCTGCTCAAGTGTGGAATTGACTAGCTTGAGGTGATGTCAGGTCATTACTGTTTCTGTGATCTTTCACTTTCGTGGCATACAGTCACGACATACTCATAGTGGTGACAAAGCAGTCAACGTTTTAGTTTAACTTTAAAATCTATGAGTTAAACGTTACTTGTGTTGTAGAAAAAAGTAGTACATGTAGTATACTGTGATCAACCTTATTAGCAATGGGCTAACAGTTGGTTATTGGTTACAGCATTAATTTTAAACAGCAGGGAGAAGGGTAAAGGTGTTCTCTCACATTATCATGTCTGTTACTTGTATGTGTTTGAAGAAATACAATACTGGACTGGAGTTGTACAGTCAAAAAGTTAGGAAAGTCAAACTTCTTGTGTTGGAAATTACAATTCAAATAGCCAATGATTACTATATAATGACTTCTCCCAACACAGATGAAATTTCAAGATAAAATGCAAGTCTTGTAATTATGTTACCTTGTTGACAAGAGTTGACTTGTTCCTGCATCGACTCCAGAGTGATAGATAAATAATACATGTACTAGTAGCTATTTTCTCTCATTAAGCTGTTAAAGTACGCTGCAACTTGGATAAACAAACACCCAGAGTTTCCATGACTTCACCAGACTTGACGAAAGTTGACCCTTTCCTGTACTGACCCAATCGGTAAACATACCTGTAATTATTTCACCTTGTTGACTCGGTAATGAATTAATTTAGATAGATAATGGCTATGATGCAACTTGGATGAACAAAGGCCCAGAGTTTCCATTATTTCACCAGACTTCACCATGGCCAGATTTGACCCTTTCCTGTACTGACCCCCATAGGTACACATACCTGTGTTACAAAGCCTCAGGTGCCAAAGTACAGGTGAACAATACACGGAAGGAATACCTCCGTCACCTAACACACAATAGGGCTTCGAAATTACATTTGTCTGAGCTCAATGCTTTGTTGTCACGTCCACTAATTTAGTTAGTTTAAAAGTATTCTGGTTCTGGTCACTTTAAAAGGTGACAGCTTGTGATTATGAGCCAGTTTTACCCTAAGACTTCACATTCATAATCATATTATGATGTTTTACCACTTTCTATTTTGATCATGTATTTCAGTGGAGTATTTCTTGTCACGTCCACTAAAGTTAGTTTAAAAGTATTCTGGTCGCTTGAATTGAAAGGGTGACAGAAGCCTGGGTTTTATGACATATGAGTTCACAATTACTAACCATAGAGTTACACCACTTTCTATTTCAGCACGTACATGTACTCAGTCAAGTATTTTATGTGTTTTTCAAAAGTCTAATCTACTGGAACAAATGCAAATTTCTTGCATGGATAAACAAACAACTAGCAACTAGGAGACAGCAATAAATAATTGTAGCCAGTGGGTTAGGGAATTTCACAGTCAAACCCCTGTACTTAAAGACCACCTGGCCAAATTGTAACCACCTGTTGATCCGAACCCTTATTTATAGATTTTTTTCAAGTTGACACAAGCATTATTTTAAGAATCTGCTCTATATATACTATAGTGTCCATCTGTCCAGATGAGTGGTGTTCTTGGGCACTTTTGACAGTTATATGTTTGTTTGACGTCATATTTTTGTGATTTCTCACATCGTTTTAACTGGGTTGTTTTTGGTCTGAGAGTTATAACAACCATGTGTAGGCTGCAGCTTATTTCACAACATTCATCCAAATTCTTGCTGCCTGAGTCAAGTAAAATATGGTTTAGCAGTAACCCAAGGAGGATGAGTACAAAGTAAGTTAAACCCAGCTTCAGTTAATGGGATGAAGGGATGACACTCAAAGGAACAATGGTCAAAAGAAAAAATGTTGTCTTGGCGTGTGAGCTGTCAGCTTTCCTGTAAGGTTCAGGATGAATAATTATTCAGTTTTCATGAAGGTATCAGAAGCAGTCTTTGTCACAAACACTGCGTCTTGATCAAAAGTGAAATTAAACAGGGGAATTATAAGACCCCACCTTATGCCCACATGTGTCAGGTGTCACATCTTAAGAAGATTACATGCATGATAAGACAGCCCAGGTGCGTGTCAAGAACCGTCTTTAAGTTATCTCCAGGTTTGTTTGGGTTCCATAAGTAGAGCATGGCGTCAACTAGAGACTGGATACTTCTAGTTCAGGTACTCTCAGGCCCTGGAAAAAAATGCTGCTGTGTTTCCTGTTTCAGTCCTGAAAAAATTTGGGTCAGTACATGTAACTAATTGTAAGTAGGGGTTATCAAGGTGTGGACAATCTCTGGTTTAATTTCACTTTTGATCAAGGTGCAGTGTTTGTTACTCTCCAAGCAGAAATGTTACCTTTTCTATTTCTATTTCTAATTATGACTGTTGTGAAATATTAGATCACAGCCGAGCTTGTGGTTGTTGGAACTCTGAGACTGAAAACGATTTAAACTTTTTCTTACAAGCAAGTCACCTGCAAATACTCATTTAACTGTAAACTATAATATGTAACTACAAATGTATAATATGTGACCGTCCTTTTTGGGAGAATTATGGGAGCTAGAACCACTAGCTACTGTATGATGACAACATTGGAAAACTATACTAGTATTTTACCCAATGGCAGTTGTCACAATAACAACCTTGGCTAAAAATAGTATTTTCTAGCCTGAGGCTACAATCATGATAATAATACCTATGGTTTTATATTCTTAAAGGCTCCAATGACAGTTAACTGAGATGACCTTGGCAATGCCATTATTGTTCTTCCCGTGTTTGTTTTGGAATTGAACATCAGAAAATTATGATTGATGACCATAATACCTAATAGTAATTATTATTATTATTTATTATTATTTATTATTTATTGAAATTGCGACGAAGACAATACAGTGTGGACACAAGGCAGCTAATCAGCTGATGGCGTGACCACATACATAGAATATACATACATACATACAATATACATGTCAAACAGCAAATAGTAATAATAATAATGTGCAGGAAAATTATGAGTGACAGCTTTTTGGCATGACCCTTGGGTAATAAAGACATTTTATCCCATATTGTCATCACATTAAACAAGAAAATGAGCTCAGCACACGCATCGTCTCTTGACACTCATCAATTTTAGATCTCTTTCATTTCAGACTTTCATGATACTAATACTTACATGTACTAATAAGTAATTATTTAGTCTTACTAGATGATCCTAGATGCATTTCGGCTGCACACGTTGGTACTACAAATGCTGCAATTATGCGGATTTCCGCATGTTTTAAGCATACAAACAGTCTTTTCATGCATGCATGATAATGATTCAACAGCACAACGGAAGACTTGTTGAAATACGATCACAACACAACACCCCCTGAGATGTCCTTGCCGTATTCAAGGGAGCAATTTTGTGCAATCGACAACTCGGGTACCGGCAAATATGAAACTTCAGTTCTCTAGTTGCCACCTTTTAAATCGAAAATATCCAGCCTATCAGTATGGTTCTAACAATACGCAGAATAACAACGTCAAATTCTACGCAAAGCCATTGTGTACCAAGTACGAGCAAGACCACGACAGAGCCTTTTGTGTGTGTGCGATCATCAAGAGAGAAAGACTACTGACTTGGCCAAGCCGCCATTCAACAACACAGCTCGCCACACTGCTGATCCTGAAAATCGCAACAACACAACATCGATGTAGCGTTACGTTGTAGCAACGGGGCTATTTTCCCACCACGATCGCCACATTTAGAGCTAAAACCAAGCCTTACCTGGCTAGCTAGACTCCCATGCCGGCCTCCTGTAGCTTGAAGCTTCGCGCTGTGTCCGAATTCGTAAAGTATTCGTGACGGAAATGGCAGCAGACACCCGATAACTGTGCCCGCGTCAGCTTCGCTTAGCACTCCACTTCCTGGTGTTGCAAATCGTATGTAGGGCGACAGGGACACAGGACAGGGGGCGGGGCCTGGCGTCACGTGGCGTTGTGACGTCACATTACGCCAGGTAGAGGTGACTTGTCACACCTTGACGTACGCCACACCCTGTCCTTCTGAGAAGGCAGCAACACTAGAAGTCACGACGCAAAGTTCTATAAATAAATTGGGACCGTAATTTTTTTAGATGGTTGGATCTGGTGATGACCGCGGGTGACCCCAAAGACGTCATCACTATTGTGGCTTTATTGTTGCCATGGTAACGAAAGTGAAAGTGGCAGGTCAGACAATATTCAAGTTGCCTATACACTATTTTGAGTAAAGCTACCCCAATGAAGATTCCGCTAAAATTGCATATAATATAATATTATACTCTCCAAGCAGAGGTCTAGCATGTTTTAGGCTTTTTTCTGGGTTTTTTTTCTTGCACTGGACTCTTTACGCCAACCCAACGTAATATTACACTTTTATGGAAAATGATAATTCGAATAAAGAACATTTTCTATTGTAAAACAGCGAGGCCTTGACTTTATTGTTCTTATTCTGGAACAATCGAACATGTACCTACCTTTGTGAATCGTAACGCCCACGCATGGAAGGTATTTTTAATTGTGACGCAACAGGTTATTTTGTTCGCAATCACGTCTAGTCAGAAGTAAACAAAACAAAGCTGCTGTAGGTGTGTGTCACCGACGATCTATTGTATTGGTACTGTTCCAAATTTCTCAGTACGCCATGTGAATTTTCTACGGATTCGTGTGGAAAGGCGACAGCATGCACACTGCGTATACAGGCGTTACTCTGGTGATTCAACATGCAGTCAAGATGTGCATATCTTAGGAGAAGTAAGTGAAATTGTATTGGCAAAATGTATAACGTTATCATTAGGTTCCTCGTATCAAATCAGCCTGGGTATCACTGATGATCCGGATTTTGCTCCGTTACGCCAGATTTTTTTCTGTTACCCAGGCTGTTATCATAAAGGGAGGTATTGTTGTATTTTTGTTACATCTCCAAGCAGATTTTCCGGTGGCCGCAAAGATATCCACCGGTCACCCGCGAGAGCGCCCGATGTATAGGTGGCGCTTTTGCAACATGAATACTAGTACTTCGCATTTGCTACTGGAGCACCATTTGTCTTCGAAGTTAAAAGCCAACATATTTCTTCCACAAGGTAATCAATCTACGGCAAATGCCAAACTGTATTTTCACGTTGATCTCTGTCCAATACGGTTTCATTAGCTAGTTAGTTAGTTTGTTTGTTTTTCAATTCAAGAACCAACAAATCAAACTGCCGTGGCATGTAAGATGAAATGATCTCATTCCAAAACAATTTCATTTCGAGATGTGTCTACCCAAAATGGCCTTTACCAAAAGTACTTTACCAGAAGATTATGTTTTTGCAAGGACGTTTGTCCTTGGGTTTTATAGTTTTTGTGTGTGTGCGCGCGCGTGTATTTGTGTATGTTGTTTAGCACGACAAGTCAAAAAGCTATGGATGGGTTGTCATGAAACTTGGCAGGTGGGTAGGTCTAGCTTGATGAGACCATGATGAGACCAAGGAGGTTCAAAAAGAAATGACACCTCGAAATGATTAGATTTGGGGTTCCCTAGCGGCTTGTTGTTACGGTCATTCCGGAACAACAGATCAAGACAAGCGAGCGCCCTCCCATAATTACATCTTGCAATGCATTGTCTGCATGCTCCAAACGTTTTCCCCGTTGTCATGGCAACGTGACGCGGCGCGTCGTCCGTTGCCATGGCGACGCCAGGTGTTTATTTATTTGCGCCTGACTTTCACCGCAGGTGTATGTTGTGTTGTTGCGCTGTAGCGTGACGTGACGTGTTTGAGGTGTGCTAAGCGGAGACATCCCCGCTAGCGGGTATTTGCCTACTCTCCAAGCAGAGGTTTGGGTTTTGGCTAATATTTGGCGTGTTTTTAGGCTTTTTCAATGGGCTTTCCTTTTTGCAATGGTATCTTTTTTTACGCCAAACCAACATAAAAGATACAAAGAAAATTAAAGCCCATTGAAAAAGCCTAAGAACACGCCAAAAATAAGCCAAAACCCATGGAGATCATGGAGAGCACCTGTGCACGGTAAAAACTATACTCTCCAAGCAGAGGTTTGGGTTTTGGCTTCTTTTTGGCTTGTTTTTTTAGGCTTTTTTTAAATCGAATTTTCTTTTCTTGCACTAGTATTGTTTTAAGCCCCCCCCCCCCAAAGATACCAGAGCAAAAAAGAAAGCCCGATAAAAAGCCTAGAACACGCCCAAAATAAGCCCAAACCCCAAACCTCTGCTTGGAGAAGTAGGCAAATACCCGGATTCGTGACTCACTGCCGACCGGCTTTTCATCGTCACTAAACCGTGAGGGTGCTTCTCATAATTGGCCCAAAACATCATACAAAAGTTAGCGGGAGGAAAGGTCGCGATCCTACACAACACGTAGCCTCTACCAGGCTTCAGGAAGCGACTGGAAAGTGTAGAAATTAGCCAAATAGATGGTCCGCGCTAAGTGTCCGCGGTCCATCTCCCTTGGCATATTATCCGTATATTATATTTAGCCAATTTCTACTCTTTCCAGCCCCCTCCAGAGTCTTGGTAGAGGCTATACACCTGTACACCGATGATATGCATAGTATAGAAAAAGTTTATTTGAAAATTCTAAAAGAATGATAAAAAGTAAAATAAAGCTAGATTCTGCTTTCTTGATAAAGAAAAAAAACTTTGTATTTCTCCAAGGAACTGTCAAGTCATTAATTCTTCATATCTCAAATTTCATTTAGCTAATGGACAGCCCAAATTGGTCGACTATTACGTAATGCTTGTTGTTTCATTGTTTCACATTGTTGAATGAATAATTTAATATCCTAGATCACAATGCTCGCATTCTTATTCACGCAGACAATCGCATACTGTATTGTGTTCTAGAACGTACGCGAAATATTAAATATTTGTTGTGAAATATTAAATATTTGTTGTGTTAGATATTCAATATCCTAGATCACAATGCTCGCATTCTTATTCACGCAGACAATCGCATACTGTATTGTGTTCTAGAACGTACGCGAAACTAGAAATTAGAATGTCATTTGATCAACAAAAGCTGGAACGTCGGTGAAGGTTAAAAGCTGGAACGTTGCTTATTGAAAGCCGCGATGGAGCTACTAGTATATGTTGAAAGGAAAGCCAATCCTTGAAAAAAGGCAGTGCAATGTAGTTGAGCAGTCTGACAACCGTTGTTCATTCCTGCCGTCCCCTGGTTTGCGCTCCCAGCAGAGCGACACCCCGCCCAACAATGACGGGAGGATTTGTGTACTCAAGGTTGCCAAAATAGAGCCAGGTGAGGGGCCGTCTCATGCGTTCGTGCTTCGTTCTTAAGAGGAGTTAGTTTTTTTTAGCAATGAGATGTTAAATTTTTAGGCTGCCTTGTTTTCCACTAAAACATAAAAAGTCTGAAAAAATGTTAAAATCTTCCCAAAGTATCATTTGTTTGGAGTCAGTTAGGTATTTCTTTGGTCAAAAGTACTATCTTTCAAAGCTATTAACCTGTACCATAATAAATGAAATCAAAATCAAATCATCTTTATTGCTCAACAACTGTAGATGGTACAATGTATGGCAAAGAAGATACGGGGGTAGATATATGAAACTATACTAAAATAGAATTTTAACAGAGCTAATCCATGATGATACTAGCTATACTAAATTACATATACAATTTTACGGAAGCTAATCTATTGTATGTTTTCTTGAGGAGAGTTTTATTACATTCTGTAATTCAGGAGATATGTCAGTTATTTACAATGTGGTGTCGTTTTTGTAGTGATTCAGATATGAATTTCCCAACGTACACTGATATCTGAGTAGGGCATGAAAGAATAGAACGCAGGCATACGAAATACGTTTAGAAACAGCGTGAGAACTTGTGAGCCCACCCCCGTTCAGGGCCAGGGGAGGGTAATGTAAGTTGATCACCTTACACTGTAAAGGTTCCGTTTAGACAGGACGAACTAATTAATGATGTGTGCCCGTCAGACAAAGGAGAGGTACACGCCATAGAACATAACAACCCTCGTCACGGATGGAGCACAGGGCAGGGTCGATCGGTAGACATCCTAGCAAGGTAAGATTGGTGTTTTATTTGGTGGTTTCTTGGATCTGTGTGTGTTGTCTTTGTAAACATTGCTCATAAGAAGATCCAAGAATGTCGGCAACAAGAGGGACAGGTCACCGTGAAGACAGGTAAGGGTTTACCTGTACAACACGTGTGTCAAATACTTTACTGGTAGACATCCTAGCAAGGTAAGGCTTGCGTTGTCGTGTTTTGCTCGAGAGGTGGTTTCTTGGATCCGTGTTGTCTTTGTAAACATTGGTCTTAAGTTGAGAAGATCCAAGAATGTCGGTAACAAGAGGGACAGGTCACCGTGAAGACAGGTAAGGGTTTACCTGTACACAGGTGTGTCGAACGCCTCACCTGTCCTCCATTTTAACGGTTCAAGGTCGCTTCTGGCAAATCTTTGTCGATCCAAGTGAACAATGTATTCTGTACAAATTCTGTGCTACGTGCAATTTTGATTTTTTTTTCTAGTTAGACTTCTTGAGGCTAACAGTTACAGAAATTTGTACGCGAACAAAGGAGGCTGTTATACACCACAGATCCGGTAACTAATGTAATAGAAGGACAGAGAACCTACAAGCGTTACACGTTGTTATGCTTGTTTTCCGGCTGATTACATCGGAACGTGAGCAGAAATTCTACCCTGTATTTAGCGTGATTATGTAGACTAAAGCAGAGTAATTAAGGTCACGTAGTAAGGCATGAAAAGAACATCACATTGTGGCATCTAGTTTCATACTTTCTAGAGTACGTACTACATATTCTTAGACTTAAGAATCGTATGGGGCCTTTCCGTTACGTAAGTCCCTAAAAGACCGTATATAACGTTATAACATTGATATCTAGCAGCAAATTTAAAGCGTAGAATTCAGACCTATCCTGGTTTTAAACAAGCACAACGACGATTACTGTTACTCATTTTGAACGAGTCGGTATAAAAGCCAATTCTTTTTTCGTGAATGTAGACAAAATTGGAAAATAGTCTCTACTCCTACTAGTTAATTCTCTATTCCTACTAGTTAATTATGCGTCAACAGAAATGTCTAATGGCAATACTGAATAATTTATTTACCTAATGACACGAGTAACTCTATCTGAAAAGCTTATTAACTGAAGAGTCACTTAAATCCCAGTGACATTCTGATTATTTTCCCGTCCGATGATATGAGAACGCCAGAAATGTTAAAACATTTCCCTCTATTTCATAACAAATATCAAAACGAAAAGTCTAAAAATTCTCTGCAATTTTTTCAACAATACGAACAAACCGAATAATGCTGTTGAAAATTGTAGTGGTACACCGTATGATGATAAAATAACCTTGCACGAAATCAAGTAGCCTCCACCAGGCCTTTCTACGGGAATACGGATCGTAGAATTCGGCAAAAAAGAGAGTAAAGTTGGCCAAGGGAGTCCGGCGGCGGGGAGGTAGTTTCTTTCCCTGTGCGGCCAGTCAAACCTACAAGGTCAAGGCGGCCAAACTCCTCTGGCAAATATTCTCCTATATATGGCCAGCGTAGTCAGTCTGGTAGAGACTACAAATCATGGTAGTCAATGTAGCTCTTCGTTATCCTATGACACATGGCCGCGGCGTATCTGGTTACCAGATCGAACCCTCTGACACAGATGAATACCCCGACTGCCCTGCGGTTTTTGTTGGCGATGTCGGTCCTGTAAATTGATATCGATCGTCGATGTAACTGTTGAAATGTTGAATAATTAATGGGTCACCGGGGACCCTTTAGCGTAAGCTTTACGGTTCATCTGCTAAGGCTTATACTCCAAGCAGATGTAAGATCCGGTGGCTCACTTTTCAGCGTCTTTGCTTATTTTGTTCGGCATTTTAGTACTTGATTTGATAGTGTGGATTTATAATTTATGTAGGAAAAGGAGAAGAGAGAAAAACGCGAACGAATAGAATGACAGACCCTGTATTTCCGAAAATAGTTTCATTAGTTTGGTAAAGCACAGGATATAGAGATTTTCTTTTACACAACCAGTATCATCTCTTACGAGTACCGTGCTTACAAGAAAGAGCCTATAAACCCGTGCAAAACACTGGGTATAGTCACAGTTTGCCTAATCTCCAAGCAGATCAGGGTAAGAGGAGTGTCAATGGATACTGCCTGGCCGATTTGATACTGTCTTTTGCGGCCATGGAAAGATCTGCTTGGAGATTAAGTTACCTTTACGGTTCGTCAGTAGGGTGAGTGGTTTAAAGTCCGAGCAGATATATGTGAATCCGGCTCAGTCTCACTGTTTTACTTCAAGGATCCCAGACCCCAGTCAATGACAAACTGTAAAGAAAAAGGCACATGTTTCAACGACATGTTTTTTCTTGCGCGCCAGCTAGTCTATATATAGTCCGCAAAATAATTTTGTTATTTTATGTTTGCAAGGACAATCATTACTACCTTCAAGACCTTCAAGATATCTAATTTTCTGGACGATAAATTCTTCATTTGCATGTTTCTATTTTCATCGCTCGTTCAGCAAAACGTGTGTGCGTCGTGAGGTGATTAGTCTAGTACCTGTTTCATGTTCCGGCTATTCTTGGAAAAAACTTGAAGTATGGCGTAAGCGTTTTTAATATTTTATCCATTACTTTATGTTTGGTCACTTTCTCCCAATTTTCACTAGTAAGTGGAATCTTAAGTGTAAGATTTCTTTTCCATTTTATCGTTATCTTTTTTATTGGAACATATATTGACAAAACATGGTGACGGCACACTTAAGTTACACTTATATTCATGATGCCGCCACAAACACATAAGGCAATACGTACATGATACATAGGACAAGCAAAGCACCAATTAACACAATATTCTAAACGATGAACAAGTGACCAAATATATTTAAAGGCACAGGATAAGACATGTCAAGATATTTCAAAAACTGATTGGAATCTGACAAAAATGTTTGTACATAGAGTTATCGTTAGTTGGCAGCAGAGTTGGCAGTTACCCCTGCGAAAGTTGCCGTCCGAAAGTTTTTGTTCGGTCAATGAAGATTCAATATCATGGAAAGAGCTGACAGGACAAATAATCGCCACGTTCAGTGACAGTGTGGTTTCAACAAACGAAATCACCAGGTGCAAAGTTGACTGGGGTAATTCGTTAGTAATCTGATTCAGCACAATCAAATCCCCGGTAATATACATCATACTGTCGTTACTGTTTAGCTTCACATATGGTCCTCTTTGTTAATTCTCACTCAAACGTAACACATTCATATGGTGGCAGGAGTCTAAATCCCTCCTGCTATAAAACTGCAACATGATGTAACCCAACACCAGTTACCATGGTGACAGACGTCTGGTTCAGGTCATTGACCTTATTTTTTGGGAGAAGAAGAAGAAACTGAGCAAAACAATATGTTTTCCTTCGCTCTGCGACGGCAAACATAACGATAGGAGGCTGACAGGACAAATTTAAATCGCCAGGTTTACTGCGGTTTCACAAAACGAAATCGCAAGGTGCAGAGTTGACTGGGCTAATTCTTCAGTAATCTGATTCAAAACAATCAAATCCCCGGTAATATCCATCATGTTGTCGTTACTAACACGTTTATAGGAAATTCGGGCTCGAGCTATAATATTAAGTAGCTGTTGACTGGGCGGTCGGGGTCAGTTAGAAGAGCTGCTCTTGACAGAAAAGGGAGCCTCTTAAACCAAAGGATACAGAGCTTAGCTGTGGCTGAGAGAGCTCGCCAGTTACTGTATATGGATATATCATTATCCCCATAGATTTCTATGGTGGTCCGCGTTAGCGGTAAGCTAAAGGTAAGGGTAAATTGTTATTTTGCTACATCTGGTATGTTTGCTACATGTGTGTAGCCAGTTGTACTGTACATTGATTTATCAATACTCCGATAGATTTCTATGGTGGATCTGTTAGCGTAGGTATAATGTAAGGGTAAGTTATAATTTTGCTACATCTGGTATCTTTGCCACATGTCCCATCAAATATGAGATTTTTTTTTCTTTACCCAGTCACAGGGATCAGAGATTTTGTCAGCGTATCCTCACGGATGTTGTGGTTTGCCAATGATTGACGCTAATAAGCTTGCTTCCTCCTTCTTCTTTTCCAGCAATAGGTACTGAAGGAACGTTACCCCCAGCTTAACTGAAAGGACCCAGACGTCTTCTATCCCACATCCTTCGTCCTTGCAATTGAGGCCTTGAGTGGACATCCTACAAGAAGGCACTCTCTAAAACACTTCCTTAAAAGGCGTGGAGAAACTCTCCTGGAAATTAGAGAGTCCACGTTTCCTTATAAGGCCTGGACAGACATTCCGGGAATCGAATTGAAAAGATGTCGGACTCGCCGCTTCCCGGACAGGTGGAGGAAAAGGAGATGCAGGAGATGGAAAAAGGTGAGAACGCTTTCTTTTTTTGGAGTATAATGACCTGGCGACATGTAGGAACAACTTCTGTCTCTCTCTCTCTCTCTCTCTCTCTCTCTCTCTCAGTTATCTCTCTTTCGCTCTCTCCCTCCCCCTTCTCTTTCCCATGTATATGTATTCCTTTCTTGATCATAAATTTTCCCTCTAAATTAGAAAGCTTTCTCACTCACTCACTCACTCACTCACTCACACACACACACACACACACACACACACACACACACACACACACACAAACACACAATTATGAATTTCATATTTATAAATCGATTTACAAATGTATTTGCAAAACCCCACCACGAACTGAAGACACGAACTGAAGACACCTAGCGATTAGCACGCAAACTGCAACAACAAACAACTCTGTCACCGATATGCAAATATCCTGTTTACTCTTCCCCAGGGGCGACCGACGGACCAATCAGCGCGCCGTCCCAGTCTGACGTCATCAGCACCCACAACATACTCGCTTCAATGCCCAGTAAGACGAGCCAGGTGAGAAAAGTCACGTAGTCTATCCAGGAAATAACGCTAGCGAAATGCTCTACGGGTCTTAGACAACATTTTTATCAAGAAAAACCCTAAGGAAAACAGGTAGGAAGGTCTTGTATGTTTGTCATAAGCATTTGAAGCCGAAAATGAACTCAGTAGTGGAGTAAATGTAGTTTGATGTGGGTTTAGTTGTTGCAACTGATCGGCCGATGACTTTGTGGTTTTGACGCTCTCTCTCCGTCGTCTTAGCTGTGTTTCTTGATCCCGTCTTCTGCAAATCTTTAAGATCTTTCGGCTGTAACTTTACCCCAAGTTGCAAGACAGTTTTGAGCTGCTATGGTCAAAAGATCAGTTAATAAAAACGGCTTGATCGTCCAGAATTCTCGTCTAAATTTACCGCTGCACGGCGAGCCGCCATATTTCTCGACCGGGGGTTGTCGAACTTTATTCGCAGTGAGTGAGGGAGGGCCTTACCTGTGGTACAGGTGTGTACAGGTGTCTTCAACATCAGGTGTAAGGCTTTAATAGTACCGACATACGGTCAGGATTTGACGCACGATCTGTGGGTTTGATCGGTAAGAACTTAGGACAAACCCGGACCTGTGTGGAAAAAGAAAATTTATCGATTTTTTTCTGACGTTCAACTATCAACTCAGGTGCAAGCAACAGGTGTCAGGAGAGTTCACCTGTGTTCGTACCTGCAAAATGTTCTGTGCAACAGAAAATTCATATTCATTTTGCAGTTGTCATGTTCAAGTTCAAGTATATAACTGTTAATGTTGATAAGTGAAATATGTTGGATTCTACCAAATTATTTCTTCTCCCAAACGTTGGAATACTCACATAGTTTTTGTAACGTTATACGATTTTTGAAATTGACGCAGGTAGCTATGACCAGCACTAGCTGTACACTATCTCCAGTTTTTTTTCAGAGATTATCAATGTATATTCAAAAGATTTGACAATATCCAAAAATTACTAGACATAAATTACCAAGGAAAATAACAAAATATACAACCTATCAAAAGGATTTTATTGTTTTTATAAAAAATTTCGTTGAAAAGGGGTTTTCTTGTTTTCGTTTTCAATTTTCGCTGAAAAAAAGTTTGTTTTTATTTTCCACTTTTTCCGAAGAATGATTTTATCACTTAATAGACTCTACCTTTATATAAATTTTAAATTTTTGCTGAAAAATGATTTAATCGTTTTCATCTTCGATTTCTGCTCCGCAGTGGTCCATGTCGATGCACAGACGGGGGCGGTCGGCCCGACACCGGTCCGCGCGGTCGGCGCGAGGCACGCGACCGGCGCTACTCGACGTTGAGGGACAGGGACAAGATGACGAGGCTGATCTTCTTGCTGAGGAGATCGCTGAGGGGAAGATGGCCGTCAGGGACCTGGCCAAACCTATGGATGCCAAGAGAGAGATGCTGTGAGTAGTTGGTTTGGTTTTCCTTTGACGCCAAGGATCACGATAATGATCATTCTGTCTCATTTTCACCTGTCTGAAGTGAGGAAAGTCGTGTTAAGTGCCTTTCCCAAGGGCACAAGGTTGGTGACTTGGCAGAATTCGAACCCAGGACCTCTTGGTTCTAAGCCAAATGCTCTGCTGTTATGCCAAACAACTCCACATAGTCAACACAACAAAAAAGGCATTAATTTTTCTTCTTATCTCCGTGTATAGAGCTTTGTTGTATGTGTGTTTGCTTGTGTGTCTGTTGTGACCTTGGAACATGGGGATACTCACAAGTAGAAAGTTAGGTCAAAGGTCCATGACAGGTCCCAGAAAAGGTTATGTCATTTCCTGTCTTCAATATCCAATGCTATACAACATGTATACGTCTGTTGCCTTGTGAACTCCAACAGAAAATATTTCTTAAGTCACAAGCAGATCTTTCAGTAGCAAAGTTGTATTAAACCAACTGGCAAGACTCCAAAAGATCTGCTTGAAGATTACCAAATGTGTACCAGAGACCACCTGTACGATTACAAAGACCTCCTGGTCAATGGCATCTTTTGGTGCTTGGTACCATAGATGCTTCCTAAGACCATAGAATCTAGAGTGCAATCCTGTTTTGTCTAATTTGTTCAATACTGGGTTTGATTGTCTGTCTTAGATTTTTTTCTGTTCAGAGAATTATGCCAGTAGACAACTTACGTTGCACACTCATTGTTGGATAGACAAACCAAAGTTGAAAGTGAAAGAAGAGTAATGACAGCCTTCAGCATTAGGGTGTGTCATGTAACAAGGTGGTCATACCGGTTTGTCAGTACCAATGTATAGAAAAACAAATTTAGAAAGTAAGTTCAGACAGACCAGGGAATCAGTGTGGCAATGTGGTAATTTACTGTACAGTTTCTTACTATAGATGTGAGCAAAATTTGTAAGGTTACTTGAGTAACATGAGGTTACTGTTTGTGCATTTTTCAAATTTCTACTCTCAGCCATACTTGGCCCCTTAAACTAAAGATTCTGCTGTTTTTAACATGACTTGCTTCGTAGGATTATATGGGATCAATGTATTACAAAAAGTAATACAGTAGTGTTTGGTGTCGGTTCTTGTTACCTAGCACGGCATACCTGTTTCTGTCCAGGCCAGAGTTTGTCCTCTTTGTTTATTGAACTTCACTGTAAACATCACGATGTAATTCTATAAGGGGATTTCATAGAAGAAAGGACTTCGTTGTGTGTTTGTGGTGGGTTTATCGCCTGTATGGGCAAAGCCAGATCAACGTGGCCTACAGAAGGAAATTAAACGTTGTGAGGCTTACTTTTTTCGTTCAGGTGGAAAGTATACTTCTAATGAGCTTATATCATCAGTGGCTGCCTGGGTAATAAGAATCTAAGGTCAGTATTAAAGGACGTCTGATTGGAAACCTGAAAAAAACTTGGTCACCAGTAAGGAATTTTTCAGTTAATGAGAGAATTTGGTTGGACACTCAAATTACAAATAATATTTTACTTTAAGTAGTAGCTAACCCCAAACCAAGTTATGTAAGGTGAATTGTGTTTGAGATCCCCGCAAAACTTTGATCAAGAAGTTGAAATGTTAATACTTAAGCCTTTTTTTTTATAAATTATAAAAAAGAGTCTGAGTAAATTTTATTTTCAAGAAACAGCAACCAATTTTATTATGCACCAGTAGATTAAATGTTCCATATATTGTTTTACCATGATGGGTAATTGTTAACTCAGCCACTATCACAAAGATAACAGTTAACACCCACAATAGCTGCAAATTGCCCTGCAAATAAGCAGCATAATTCTCCCAAGGGAATAATAGATAACCCTACAATGGTGATTGTTTCATTTAGTGATAATGTGGTCTATTATGGTCATGAGTAGTCAGTTGTCCTTTAATAATGGGCCAGTACAACATGGCAAAATTAAGATAGTCATTTAGAATGTAAAAAGAGATTTTTTAGCAACACAATATTTGTCACAAGTTCTAGAAACAGACTCTTAGAGTCACAAAAACAAGTTTGAATACATCATATTTGCAAAGGACAGGTATCATTAAATGTTCACAATTAGTGAATCACCTGGTAAGTAGACTCTATTTATCTATTAAGCAAAGGAGCCAACTAAATAGTATTAAACATACATTTGACAAATCATGGATGATGCTAATAAGAGGAAAAACCTAACCAAATTTTTAGATAAACTCTGTTATCACGTCCTTTCTTTCTGAGGGCAATTTGAAATGTTTTCATTGTCCTGGTCTTGTTGAAAGCATAACAAACTGACAGACATTTTAGACTGCACGAAAACAAACAGCCTTGTTTATAAGAGATCACACAGAGAAACCTGGCTAAACACCCTGGGGATTATTTCAATAGAATAGAGAAAAAAAGCCTGAAAAATTTTATTTCTAAATAAAACAAATTTAAAATGTTTACACAATTTGTCCTTTCTTTCTGACTCAGGGCCATGTGTTGTTTTTGTTTTCCTTGTCTTCTTGAAAACCCATCGACATTTCAAACTGCATGGAATTTTGGAAACAAACAGCCTTGTTTTTAAGAGATGACACAGATCTAGAGATACCTGGCTAAACACCCCGGGGGTCACTCCCCTTTGCTTGGTCTGTAACCCTTGGCAACGGAATTATTATCTACGTCAGACTCGTCATGGCACAGGCCCAAACAAACCCTAACCACCCAAGGGTGTCTTGTCCTGCTATTGTGTTTCTGTAGTGAAACATGCAACATTAGTTCAGCTGTCTGCTCTCAGTTGAATGAGTGTCACCTGCATCTATAAATTATAAATAAGTATAGAACAACTTGAAGGTGAATTTTTTTCTGTTAGAACCGTAAATAACTTGTCAACAGAGGCAGAAAAATTACAAAGGTTCCTTTCTATTGTGTTTCTGAAGTGAAACATGCAACATTACTGTCATTAGTTCAGCTGTCTGTTCTCGGTTCAAGGATTCTCACCTGTGGCTATAAATAGATAAAGAACAAAGAGAATTTTTCTCTGTTAGGTAAATAGTCTGTCAACAGAGGCAGAAAAATTACCTGCACAGGGTTCTTTCTACTAATTAATTAGAAATCTGTAAGCTATATTTTACCTTTACCAGGCATTTTATTTTCGAACAACGATCTTACTAGCTATATAGACTATTTTGTTGTTTGGAAATCATGCATTGATAATTTCCTTACAATAATTGTACCCACCCTTTGGGTCTCCATTCAGAACTCTTTGTGCTTTTACTGTATTTGAAAGTGAAACTACATTGTATAATGTAAGTGTAACACAACAGCTTTATTCCATATGGATGCAACCTACAACTTTACATGTATTTCAATAATGTTGCTCAACCACCTGTTGGATCATGCATTGATGCAGCTTCTATGCAATATATACTGTTACAATTATAATGGATGACTATATTCAACATTTTTTGTGCTCAAGTTGACCACTAGTACATTAAGTTTTCTCTGTTGTTTTCACTTCAATAGACTTACAAAATTTTGTTTGTTTGTTTGAACCATTCTTCATTCATGCAAGCTCACATTGACCTGCAGGCCACTTTTCATATTTCAAAAGCATCAAGCATCGAAAGCATCATAGGACTAAGGTATTGTAGGTTTGTCACAGTGCTATTCTCTATCTCAGGCCACGCCAATTCAATTTGTAAGTTCTTGGACATTTTCATGTAAAATGTTAGCAGGCAAACTTGCAAAGAACTGACTCTGTTCACTCCCTGAAACTACATGTAAACCAAGATACAGACTTTCCCCTCAGAGTCAAGCTTTGTCTTCAATTGTTGCTTCAACACAGCAAATTGGGGTGGCCTTAATTTGTTGTTAAAGAAGAAGAAGAAGGCCTTAATTTGTTATTATTATGTTCTGCACACCTGTTGTTGATTCTTTCTGTCAGTGCCAAAAATAGGTCACTCATTGGCAGGTCTGTGCAGACAAGGCATGTCAGCTACGTGCATGTCGTGATTGAATGTATATTTACGTCTTGAAACCTGAGACGTGTTGTATTGACAGACCGAAACAAAAGTCCACAAAGGAAGCCAAGGGGTGTGCCTAATAGAACTGCGCAGAACCATTCATGCAGCATTTTCGGTCTTCACCTTTGAGTATAGTTTTCATAATTATAGAGGTTCCAAGGTCTTGAAGTTGGGGACTCTATTTAGACCATAAACAGAGGTAGTTGATGAAACAGGTGGTTGTTATACACAGGTAGTGAAACAGAAATTGTTGGGTTTGAAAGGTGTTGTTTGGTGCGTTGTGTTGCCATGGCGCGGCGGTAAATAGTTAGTGTGGTCTGATCCGGGACCAGGCACGGTCTGACCCGAGTGTCATTGTTCCAGATTTGAGAACAAACGTGCGTAGAGGTGTCACTCATAGTACTAGAGCTGGGTGGTACTCTCCAAGCAGAGGTTGGGTGGGAAGATTGTGATCTTCTTTTGACTTGCCCCGTTTCTAAGTATCAGCCTTAATCAGTTACTAGTGTTAGAAACAAATCTGAAGAAAGACATAATCATCCCATCCAACCTCTCCTTGGATTACACCAGGGAAGAGACAGAGACTTTCGTTTGGCCGAAGTTCAGAGTTTTAATCACTTCAAAGAAACTCTGAGAATGCCCTACGGTATGCCCCCTTCCCACGCAAAAGGCTACATGCCTGGCAGCCAGGGAGTGGTGGGTGGGAATGCAGAATTCTTGGCTCTCTTATTTTGCGTGCTGCCAAGCAAGTAACCCGAACGTAAGAATGAAGCATGCTGGGACCTGTTGGGCGGACACTCCCTCCCGGAGGTGCAATCCCGACGAATTCCGCCGGGTGGCGCAATCCGCAACCGATTACACCAGGGAAGAGACAGAGGCTTTCGTTTGGCCGAAGTTCAGAGTTTTAATCACTTCAAAGAAACTCTGAGAATGCCAAGGTGTCGCAGACACGGCCAAGGAAAGTGTGCTGTTATGTGAAAGGAGAGAGTGTCCGCCCTCCAGGCCCCTGGGCCTTGAAAATAGCAAACTGTCTGCAGAACAAAGTACACAACTGTGCGGAATTATATATCAGAAACATTGAACGGTTCATTACTCCACATTGTCATAACGGATCTTTCGTGAGATGTCTGTCTGAACAAGAATAACGTGCCGAAGTTGAAGTTGTATAACTGACTAGTTAATACACTCGGAAGTACACGTGTAAGAGGGCCCTAACTAACTTCAACAAAAAAAACCTGATAAGGCTGAGCTTGAGACCTAGCCAACAATTCAGTGAAACATTAAGTATAATAGCTAAACTTCTATCTCGTCTCATTATCGTAGTTTATCTCTCCTGAGATGTGCTGCCGGGCTTGTCCGGAAAGGAAACCTGATAACCTGAGTAAAACACTCATAACTTGATGTACCCTAACTAAGGTAAACACAACTGGCTGAACAAATGTCCTATATAACTACAACAGTAGCGGATTAGAATAAATTGTGTGATGTCCTGACAGATGAACTGAGTCCCACTATGGCATGTGGACTGCTATTAAACTATTGACATCTTTACAACTTGTTGGTTTCTTATACAAAACTTCTAAGCTTACTGTCCAACTAAGTCCATTCACAAAACAAAGTCCGTGCTCTCAGTCTGTGTCAATAGTGTTCACGCGATGCTGTGTCTCAGGACGTAGTCTCTCAGAGCCGCCGGTACCCTCAGACGATCAGCCACCGTGGTCGACAGGTACACATGGTCCGCGTCCGACCGCCAGTCTCCATGCAGCTGTCGTAGTTCACGCGGCACGCCAGCCTGGAAGGCCAGCGTGTACCCTCCTCTGCGTAGATCGTGTAGAGTCAGGGAACCTGCGGGTATTCCAATGGAAGCTGCTGCTCGCGCGAACGCCTTCTCCAACATCGATGTGGTTAATGGTCTCAGCTTACGACCCCTCGTAGGTACCACGAACGCGGGCTGATCTGGCTCTGTTGGGATTAAGTCACACATGTGCGTGTAGGCGGCAACCGGGCAAATCGGCGAACCCGGTATCGGCAATAGTGGAACTGAGAGAACCCGTTCGCGACTCTGTAGAGTCTTAGTCCACGTGACGTAGATGAGCAACCCAGCCGGTGATACGAGAATATCCCGCCTCTTCAAGTGCTTCTTCGGGTCAAACTGCGTCTTAGAATCCAACACTACATTTGAACGACGAAAGAATGTGAAGAAACTGAACACGATGGCTGCCCAAATGGCTGCGTCCCGTGGCACCTGGGGATTGAAACAGCCCGCGAGATCGACTAGTAATGGAATGTCCACCCTACCATGCTGACGAGGACGATGCTGCAATCGTTTCTTAAGTCCTTTCATCGTGTGCGCAATTTCGAAGTGATCCAAACTAAATGTGGTGAACCCGTTCAGGTGATGGAAGAGCTTCACGCTCGATAGGTAATGTGCTATAGAGTCCGAGGACCGCAGAGAACGTGACAGGAACTGGGCGTAGCACGCCAGGTTGTGTGGATTGGCAGGCATAGGAACTATGCCAAAGTAGTTGCAGAAATTAAGGTAAGTGGAAATATGAGTCTGATGATTACGAGATGTGCCGACCGCGAACACTGATGCCTGAGTTGTCCTAGTGTCCTCCTCCAAAAGTTTCCACTGAAAGTCTGCATCTGGAGGAATAGAAGAATTACCAGTCATGAGAGAAGTCAAACATATCATCAGAAGCGTTGACCTCGCGTAGCTCATTCTTATCTACTTCCTCACGGAACTGGTTCCTGTAAGACTGATGTAAGTGCCACCTGCTTAGCATATCCGGTAACGTATTCTCTATGCCCGAGATGTGTCGTGCTACTAGTTGGAAGTCCTTAATTGCCTGTATGTATACTAACTCCCTGGCGCACGCTTGAAGGAACTTGTCCGTCGAACGCCCCGTGTTGATTACGTATACTGAAGCCTCATTATCACACTCGATCAGCAAGCGTTGGCCTGCCCATGCGTGAGCCCACACTTTGCAACCCACAATCACCGTGAGAAGCTCTAAACAGTGTATGGGTAGTTGCTGTGCTAAGATGAACTCTGGGAACTGCCTGTGAAAGTACTCTGACCCGGAGACACCGCCGCAACCGGAGAGGCACGCATCTGTCGCCAGTGATGATGACGTAGGTCTAGGAATCAATCGAATCCCGTTAAACTTCGGCAGAAACCGTTCCCACCACATTATGTCTTTACGGAATTCCACGTTTAGTCGAACTACATGATGATTCCTAGTCAGTCCGCGCAGAGCATTGATCATCCTGGACAAGAAACACGACCACAGGGAACGCAGGCCGTGATGAACATCAATTTACCCAACAAAGACTGAATGTCTTTCTTGCGCGCGCGTTTTCGGCCGAGCCACGTCCGCAGTTCGGCGAGGGTCTCATCCAGACGATCGTCCGTGACCTCCTTTGTCATGCTTACGGTATCATAGCCTATGCCCAGGAAAGCCATAGAAGTACACGGGGGAACTGCCTTGCCAGGCGACTCAACCAAACCCAAGTCCGTGAATGTGTCAGCGAGTGTCTGGAAGGCTGCCATAGCGCGAAGCGGTGTTTCCGCACCGCCAAAGTCATCAATGTAGTTAATGCAATCAAAACCCTTCATTCGATGAACATATCTCACTGCCGAGGTCGTTCTTTGACAGGCCATTGCCGCGGAACGAATGCCGAAAGGAAAGGCCGTGTCAAAGTAGAACTGTCCGTTCCATTGAAAGCCTAACATGTTGTAATCGTACGGGTCCACCGGGATCTGTCTATACGCTCTGCTTAAATCGCGTTTGTAGAGTAAGCAACCCTGTCCTTTCTCCATTATCAACTGTTCGAATGCTGCGTGCCCCGGTAGCGTGAAGGAGAACGGTTCACCTAAATAATCTTGTGGAACAATCCCGTCATTCACTGAATGTCCGACCGGGAAACTTAAATCTACCACTACTCTCCGCGCCTCTGAATCACGCTTGGGTACTGTCTGTAGCGGGGACACCATGAATGGTGTACGAAACGGAGGAACGTGAAACGGACCTTGAATGGTGCCGAATCCTCTCTCTGTGGACACGTACCGTTCAACATCCCTGTGAAATATCTTGGCTGACCTGTGATTCTGGTAAATAGGGATTGGCAATTGTTCACTCATGTAGCTAATAGGCCATCCAAACTCCAAATAATCTGCGACCACTTAGTCATGATAGTCTCTCAGAAGGTTACGCCATGTCTGGATGTGAAATGTGGTTGGCACAGGGAGTCTACAACCTTGGAAATTATAAGATCCGGAAGCTCGCACCTGAGCGTGTAACTCCAAAAACACGTTGGTTGTAGACGTGTCGGCTGCTTGTGTGAGGTCCTGACCTGACACCGTGGATGACAGCTCGCAGCGCGGGCTAGCTGTAGTGTCAAGAGTACGCCTCATGCCAGTGCCAGTCGTAGAATTGGTACAGTCCACGTGTACCGTTGACGTGTCGCCAGTCGTGGAGGTTAGTGCTCCGCTTGCTAAAGGCGAAGTAAAGCTACGACTCCCAACATGTCCTTGAAGTGTACCCGACAAGGCACCCGGGTTGTCGTTCCAAAGACGTAGGCATGTCCGCTGCTTGTGTGAGGTCCTGACCTGACACCGTGGATGACAGCCCGCAGCACGGGCGAGCTGTAGTGTCAAGAGTGCACCTCGTACCAGCGCTAGTAGTAGGATTGGCATAATCCATGTGCATCGTTGGCGTGTGATAAGTCGTGAAGGTCGTGGCTTCACTACCTGAGACTGAAGTAAAGCCACACCCCCCACTATGTTCTTGAAGTGTTCCTGTGTTGTCTTCTAAGAGAGTATCATGAGTGGTGATTGCATGCTTGCCTAGTTCTACTTTAATAAACGTCCGAAAATCGTTACCTACAGACCTTCCTCCATCATACTCTACATATGTGTTCTCTGCATCTAGTAGTCACGCTGACTTCTGTGTTGGGTTCTTCGCCCTGAACTCCGGGTCTTTGTAAGGGCAAGTTGTTGCGCTGTGCTTCTGGTATCCCATCGCAGGACGCATAGTTGCGCAAGGTCTGCAGAAGTGGTATACCTTACCGTTCCTGCTGGAATGAGCCCTGTTGTCTTCCACAGTAGCCTGGCATTCGCCTTTGTTGTAAGCATAACACAGCTGTAGGTCTGTTTTCTTGGCGGCCTTGCTAGCATCCCTAGGAGGGACATCTCCCTTGCGTAGGTGAACAGACTTCAAGTTTTGTACCTTCTTCATGAAGTGCCTGTCCCCCCAATCCAGCTCGCCCTGCTCGATCTGCATGAGCACTACAGCATTGAAGCACGGCTTGGTAACCGAATTCTGCTACTTCGAACATCATGAAACGCATGAGCTTGAGCCTCTGCTTGCTTTCTATAGAGTTCACCTTATGCGATAGAATGATATCTAGTGAACCGGCAATACACTCATGCCATTCCAGATCATAATAACTTTTGCCACCGTTCTTTGTGTTAGGCAATCTCTCCTGCGGAAACAAGACTTTCCTCTTCACCTGATCCGTACACTTCCTCAATACCCCGCTCTTCAACTTCGCCCCTTTGGACCGTGAAGAACTCGACCTACCTCTGGAGGCTCTGGAGTGATCACTTGAGCTCGAGCGTGAGGTCGATGATTCGGAAGACGAGCTCGAGCTCCGCGCGCTGGCTGCCGCTTTCTTGCTACGTCCGCGAGACGGTGGCGGGGACGAGGCTGCCCTGGTATGTAGGTCTTGCTTCATCCGAGTGAACTGGCGTAGTTCGTTGGCCGAGATTCGTGTTTGGGGCTCGCGCCTGCCGTCCCCAAGATGGCGCCCGAGAGTAGGCGAGTTCTCGCGAGACTTCGCAGCCGTGACGTCACGCGAATGGCGGGTTTTTCGTTCGCCATTTTGTTGTTGACCTTCTTGAACTTCAAGCACTGACCTTTCCATCCGCTGTAAATCCACCTTCAAGGCCTCTATTTCCCTTGTAGCCTCCCTTATCTCTTCCTCCACTTCGTCCACGTCTACTTCTCGCCTTGCCTCTCTCGGTTTTGGAACTGGGAATCTCGGGGTCGAGGTTGACCTCGGCCGAACGTCGTCCCGCTGTTGTTCATCTAAACCTTCTGTATAGTAGTCTACGAATCTCGCCGGCCTTCTCGACTTCCTCTTCCCTGCGCCCCACATTCTTGCATGCACTTTCTGACTCAGCTGAATGAAGGATGACTGAAGGATGTTGTTTAAAATGCAGAATTCTTGGCTCTCTTATTTTGCGTGCTGCCAAGCAAGTAACCCGAACGTAAGAATGAAGCATGCTGGGACCTGTTGGGCGGACACTCCCTCCCGGAGGTGCAATCCCGACGAATTCCGCCGGGTGGCGCAATCCGCAACCGATTTGAAATAGTCAAAACCTTCATAATCGTGATCAGTCATACCAAAATGTTGTCAGAGAAAGAAAATTTGGCCATTTTTCTGAACGTCACTCAAAACGTTACTGAAGCAAAGAGCGAGGGTTAATAATTGAAAGCCCAGGGTATTGTATGTATACACATGTATTCAACAGTTACTGTATTGTAAAACTTGCTAGCTGAATAGGTTCAACACAGCAGGGGGTGAAGTCAATCCGGAACATGTCAGGGGAAGTCATAAATCATCTTTAATGACCAAACGCCTTGTCCCATGAACTCCAAGCAGAGGTGATCTTAGGCCAAACATACAATAAAAATACATATAATAACAATATTATAGTTAAAAATACGTCACTCTATGAAACAATACAGACAGACCCTGGGATATTGCGGAAGAATCCGTTGTGGAATATTACATTGGGTTTTGAGAACAGATTGGATAATGTGTATTTTTAATCACAAAACTGCAGAAAACAGAAGTATAGATTGAATTTTGAGCCCTGAAATGAGACAGAGAGCAGCCAAAAAATCTTAAGTTTTATTCCTTTTCCCTGGGTTTGTGGTGTAATATACTCCTTTTGCAAAAAATTAAATGTTGTATTCAGGCTATTGTGCAGCCCAGACTTATTTGCGGCCGTATCACCAGCCTCTAATCCTTTCCCTCGGACAACCGATCACCCAAACAACCAGTCGATTTTTCAGACTATGCTCGGGAACCACTTAGCAACACAACCTGTCACGACCAGAATTGTCATGAAAACAGATGCGGGACTGAGTGTGCTTCAGCTATTTGTAACTAGGGACTCTTTAACTAGTAGAAGTGTCAAAACGTCGCGTTGCGATGTACATGTACAATGTATTGTTTTGTTTGATAAAAGTTGCAATGTAGGTTTGGCCCTGGTTGTATCAAATGTTTTGTCTAGGTGTTAAGAGAGCTGAAGCAGAAATTCTACAAGTATTGTTTTATTTTGCCTGAAATATATTTAATAGTAATACACTCCTATTTCGTTGCTTCAGAATGAAAAAAAAAGTTCTCTGTCAACATTTGAATGTTTTAATTCATGCCACGGTCATGCCAACAGAATATTGTACCACCAGGTAGTAGCAACTCTTGAATCTTATATTTCTTGTTGTTTACATTAAAAGTATTGATTTGATTTTGAATCACCAGTCTAAACTGGTTCAATAAGTTCAATAAATCAAATCAAACTAAGAAGTCAGATTTCTGTGTCCATAAATTCATGCCGCAGTCACCTACCAACAGAGGATTGTAATTAAAAAGCAAACTCTAAGAAATATGTAAACAACATTGGGGTAACACACTTAAACTTGATCTTCTTAAGAGCAGAGTTTTTTTCTGATGCAATCGTTTGTCCCAAGTTTTTTTCAGTGTGCTCTGTTTCAGTGTGCCCACAAGGTGAAAAATCAAATGAAAGGTTCAAAATGCCTACCTTAAACCTGTGGTTTGTGGACAAAAACATTTGTAGTTAATAATATGTACAATTAGATTTATTTAAGAACTTTCAATTTTTCTAGCTAAGAGAACACATTCAGCTATTTTCTTTTCATATATGCTAGGAAACAGAACTCAAGTATTCTTAGCTTTGAATTGTTTATTACTAACAGTTTGGAAATTCTGACGAACTCTCTGTCAAATGCAGCTGGAGAAATTGTTTGACTAGTGTTTGAATGTTGAAGCCATCATACACAGGTCCTGACATTACACATATTCTGCTTACTTTACTGTACATGTCTACCTCCTTGTGCAGTTGCCATACAGCATTTCATTTGATTAATTGCAAGCAAGGTAGAATGTAAACTAGCCGGCCTTTATATATTTGCCCATGCCGGACCTTGTGAGATTACCGGCGACCGTGTTGTCTCAAAGGGTCAACTTCGAGTGTACATAGGGACAAAACAACACCAGCGACTTCCCCCAAATCTTGTCACGGTCGGCAAGTTCTTAAGATCTCCTGATAAGGAGGATGCGTGACTGTCAGGGACACTTGAGATGTGTACAGAAGGAACAGGTGGTCAGAGAAGTGTTGTTCCCTGTGTAGTTATTGAGTCTTGAATCCAACAAGTGGTTTTTACAGCCCAAAAGAAAAATTCCTTTACTTGGACAATTCTCTTTGCACCTTAATTTGTTTACTTTTATAATTGTTTACACTGAATGCTAGTTGTGATTAATATTTTTACAACAGTTGTCACCTTTAAGTGTTTTAAGAATTGTGATTTAATTTTTTGTGAATGTGAACGGTTTTTGGAGAATTGTGTTTGGGCTCATTTAGTAATTGCTGGTCAAGTGTGATGGGCTTGTTTGGTCAGTTAAGTGTCACAAGTGTTGATGTGGACTTTGTGTTAATCTTTAACTTGAAGTATTGAGTCAAGGTACTCTTGTCATGGCCTTAGTACGTATAAACTGAGAGCTAAAATCTTTCTTATGAACAAATTGCCTTCTTTCTTTGCCAATAATCTAATGAAGGAAATGCTTTAGTCAAGTCCCACAACCCAGTACGCGTACATAGTATAATATTATTATACCAGAAATTTGATGAACTGTTCTGAGGATTACTAGTACCTACATTGTAGCTGAGTGTTCAAGGCACAAAAGCGGCCCATTTGAAACTTACATTATATCCGGCCTGTACCTGTACCTAACCCAGCTAGGCTTAAAGTCTTTTCTGTACTTTCCAATACTCATACATTCTTATTATCATCATTAATAGCAGAAGTTTTATGAATTCGTTTTTCTGAAGTATACCTAGCTGAGTGTTCTTTCAAGCACAAAAGCCCCCCCTTTGCAACATTATATCCGGCCTGTACCTGTACCTAACATACTGAGGCTTAAAGTCTTTTCTGTACTTTCTAGTACTCATACATTGTTATTATCATAGCAGAAATTTGATGAATTCGTTCTTCTGAGGATATACCTAGCTAGTGTGTTCTTTGAGGCACAAAAGCCCCTCTTGTATATATCTGGCCTGTGCATGTGGTAAATACAGTAAAGCTTAAAGTCTTTTCTGTACTTTACCCTAAGGTACTACCGATAATAACGAAGAGATACCATGGCATTGCTTTGAAGTCAAAGTTGTTTCCTCCTTGCCTTCCAGTCAGTACATTTCATGACAAAACAAATATCCTCAGAGTGTGAATTATTTAGTACATACATAGTACAGAGGTCTACTGCGGAGTCTGACATGTGTCTTTGTGGACTAAAATGGTAGATCATTAATCCCTGTTGGACTTAATCTTGCCACTGTACATGTTGGACAGTCTGGGAAGCATGTGGACAACAACCACCTGTTTTACCTGTTATTTTTCATGCAAATTAAAATTAAAAGGAACTTGAGCTAAAATCTAATTTTAAAACAGTTACTGGACTTGTTAGTCAAACATATTGTATATCTTATATAGTTATATTATATACTATTATCTATGGATAGTGTAATCATTATGGTAATACCATTGTACATACATTGTACTACAGTACATACATTGTACATGAGAACAAAAGAACCTACTGTACAACTTTACAAGACTCTTTTGGCAATAATTTTGCTGCTGTCCCAGGGACAGTCTGGTCTGGGAAGTGTGTGGACAAAAAACACCTGTTTTACCTGTTCTGTTTCATGCTTGAATTCTTGAGGTTGAATCTAATTTTAACAACAGTTACATGTTACTTGTTAGTCTACATACTTATGTGGTAGTATAATTGTAACACTACAGGGTTCAAGGTTATATAATATTGTCCTATAAGTCTGTTTTGGCCGTGCAATAACTGTAAATTTTACTGTGATTGTCAGGTTTTACTGGCACTCACCGAGCATTGTGTGTATTTTATTGACTAAAGCAGTTATTATGGGAAATGAACAGGTCTAAAAAATTCTTGACACAACTTACAAGCTACTCCTGGGCCTATCTGTTACTGTAACATAAACTGTTTTCTAATCTGATTTAATGTAGTCCCACAAGGAAGTAGTGGAACGAAAATCGACCGCTTTATCTAGAGACCCTCCCTTCCATTGTTTGTTTTGTGGGCTGCCCTGTGTTTACACATGAGGGCTGTTATTTTACTGCTGACGGTATCTTGGAAGCCCTGATAGCACGTCGGTAGAAGTAAAACGTACTGCACCTGCACAAAATTAACCCGTAATGTATTGAGCATAGCACTTCGACAGAACGACTTGTATATAAGGTCGTATTCGCGCATATAAGGTTAACATCCCGCCTGTAGTTTTCAAATGTTTTGTCCAAAATGATATCTTCCTCAACTGGCAAAATTCTTAGTCAATGTTGACCAAAAATCCAATGAAAACTGTGTAAAAATGGGGGTTTTGCGCAGTATGTTCTGGGCCTATGTAACAGTTGATGACTGTTATTTTACTGTTGACGGTATCTTGGAAGGCCTGATGGGTGTGGCCTATATAGCTAGTATCAGGTGTGAGTCAGGTTATCTTTTAGTCCTGATGACTTCCTTGTTGACCCATGTTTGTTCCTGTGATGTCACCTGGTTCTGACATCATGATGTTAGGATGTTCCAGTCTAACATTTTTCCTTGACAATCTTCAGCTTTTAATATACAGTTAACAGGTGGTTCAAGCAATAGCAGCCACTTGTTACATACATTGTTTATGTTCGGTTCCTCAAAATAATTATTGAATAAATACATACTAGAGGACTCCCAAAAGTATGAGCCATCTGGATAGATAACATCAGAGTTAAGGCATGGGAAAGTTTGAAACTTGATTAATATGTCAGCTTCATAAATTATGCATGTTGAAGTCATCACATTATATGGAGGTAATTGTTCTCCAGTTGACAGAACTGGAACAAAAGTTGTCAACACAAAAGGTTTTCCCAGATAGAAATGTCATCAGTGGTTGAACTATAAACTTTATAAGCATTTTGATAGCTAAGGCTTAATATAATGAAGTTCCAACAAGATACAGTTCAAACCTGCACAAATTTTTGGAGTTGATTGTACTCTGGTTGACAGAACTGGAACAAAAGTTGTTGACACAAAAGCTTTTCCCAGACAGAAATGTCATCAGTGGTTGAACTATAAACTTTATAAGCATTTTGATAGCTAAGGCTGAATATAATGAAGTTCCAACAAGATACAGTTCAAACCTGCACAAATTTTTGGAGTTGATTGTACTCTGGTTGACAGAACTGGAACAAAAGTTGTCGACACAAAAGCTTTTCCCAGACAGAAATGTCAATGGTTGAACTGTGAAGCATTTAGATTACAAAGGCTTAAAGTACCAGGGGATTATATCATGAACTTTTCAAACCATGAACTTTTCAAACAATATGTATTAAAAACTGAAATGTTATAATAATTATATGTCAATCCTGTGAGTCGTATGTAGTTTTGTAGAAAATGCATGTAATGTTACAATGTAGTTTGATATGTGAAAAATGCATTGGCCATGGTCAGTGCTTAAGGCAATATTTAGTGTTGAAAAATTCTGTGACTGTGCCATGTGAGGTGATGATATTCAATCCCACTGCAATGGAAGTATTCTATCAGTATCTTGAGTGTTTCAAACATTAACGTTATTAAGCAAGCTGTGCAGTGGTCATGGTCAGTGCTAAAGGCATTATCCCATACTAGTATTCGGTGTTGAAAAGTTGTGTGACTGAGCCATGTGAGGTGATGATATGTATGTCCCACTGCATTATGTCAATGTTAAGAAAAACTTTCACAAGGCAATGGTCTCAGACTGGTGTTATTCAGGTGCAGTTCCTCTTGTGGGAGACAGGAGGCACTATTAGCTGGGGCTATTGGATCAAGATTCGTCCATCAAATAGATGAATTTGCTATAATTGTTGCATCGTGTGTAAATTTTTATCTTTTTTATTTATCAACAGGAGAAGACTCCAAGGAAAACGCTTGAAAGGTTTTGGATGGAAAGTGTCAGCACAAAGGGTGGGTATCATAACATGAAATTGTATTTCAATTTGTTGATGAGTGATATGATGGCATTATCATTAACTTTGGAACACATATTTCAAACTTTGGAAAAAGTTTTATATGTTGAAAAAGTGAAAAAAAAAATTAGCAAAACGTCACCCTTAGGCCTTAGCATTACCTTGAAAACGTGCTACCATTTCCATAATTATACCGATTGCCAAGGGATTGAAACATATTTAAAATGTTAATAATTCCTCTCATCATATTTCACAGAGATGGAAGAAGAGCAAAGAGAACATGCACGATTTTTTTGCCAAGCTGGAAGTATGGAGGAGTCCCATGCATTCTATAGAGGGTGAGTCAATGAATATGTTTTGATGTTGAACTTGAAAATTAGAAATGTGATCAAGTTTTTGCTCAAAGAACTTTTGTTCAACCTCATCAATGTTATAACAAGTCAACCAATACAAACACTATTACGAAATGTGCTAAGGACTATGAACACTTTGTGGAAAGGATGTAGGACTCAGGGCTATAATTAAGATTCGGTAACCAGGCTAGAACACTGAGACATACAAATGTACAGTCACATAAGCTCTTGCCCAAAAGACTCCTAATAAGACTCCCAAAGACTTTACAGTAGCTATAGTAGTGATAATCGGGTCAAGTTTGGGACAAAAGCCCCAGCCAGTTTCAGCCAGAAGGGATTTGAACTGTAACTTGAACTTGTGGTGCAGAAACTGGGTTGCTGTGAACAGTTACCGGACCACACAAGTTGCAATGTGCTATAACTTCATCTACTACCAGTTTCTGTCTTTAAGTAGATTATACAAAATGTATATGATTTAAACTTTCAATATAAACACATTATGTAGAAGAATGTCTGCTACATGATGTAATTATATTGAATGTTTAAATCAAATGTAATCTAATATTTGATGAAACTAACAGTAGAGGTTACTTTCAGTCAATTAAGACATTCAGTCCTCCCAGAATTTGTCTTTTATATATGGTACATGTACAGTTATTGGTGCTTTTAATTAAAATTGTAAATTTTAAAGCTTGATTGTGTAAGCTCCCTTATCAGACTTCTGGAAAAATGAGAGAGATACATTTAATTTAACTTTGTATTGTATTATGATCATTTTCCATTACATGATATGAACTTAGTCTATGAAAAGCGAGCACCATACAATGTCATGTACATGTATGTTGTAAAACAGTCCTGGACTAAAGAAAACCATTTTTCACCCTAACAACCATTTTTATCACCATCGTTAAAACCAAGAGTTTTTGTAGCCACTTTTAGTAGTCTCAAAAGGTCAAGGTACAAAATGTAGCGTCTGTCCCAAATGTGGAACACGTTTTGTCTCTTGTTCTGCTACTTTTCTTTGTGTTCCCATGGAAACCGGGAACTCCAGGGCAGATATTGTACCCCATGTAGCAGTTCCCTAGCTCATGCTCTTTGTGTTACCATGGTAACAGGAAAGTTTGGTGCACATATTTTGACTTTCACTATTCATAGTAAGACAGGATCAATATGTTGCATGTTTAAGTTTGCGATGGAGGCCTGTAGAATGAAGTGGAGTAAAGAAAGCAAGAAAAGTTGCCCTAAAATTTGAAAAATGAATTAAACTTTACCTCTCAAAGTTAAATTGAACTGTAAAGTCACCATTACAATGAGATTCTTTATTGACTCAACAAAACGTATACTAGGGACTTTTGTATGGTCTTCTACAACTAAAGATCTAACAAAGTTAAATACATTGTAACGTTATGTCACACAGAATATATGTATTGTGGCAAACCACAATCATACAGAATATATGTCAGCAGCAACAATAAAGGTTTAACTTTTCTCTAACATGTAGTCTCTAAAATTTACTCTGTAACAGCTGTGTATTATATTTCCTTTTTTACATATACGTGAGGTTTTTCTTTGAAATCAAAATTTAAAGATACTGAATATTTCTCTGACGGATGTTTTGTAACCCTACCATTTTTCAGGAAAGTTTGGGACGGGGATCCTGTCATATTTCCAGTTCATGCGCTGGCTGCTGTTCCTGAACCTGGTCATCTTCCTGCTGATGTTCCTCTTCATCCTCCTTCCGTCTCTCATCTTCACCAGACAGGAGGCACTGGTGACGTCACAAGCAAACTCTACAAACACAACACAAGCAAGTAAGGATCTTTGTACATGTGTACGTTGTAGCCAGTATAACTGCCCTTTGGCTTAACACACCAGCTTTGTAGGCAGTGGCAGCTGGCTACATTACACCTAATGACTTGTTACACCTAGCCCTTGAACATCTACTCTAGACATTGTTTAAAGCTATCTAGTGACAATGCCCCTACTGTACTTGGTGACAGCGAGTTCCACTCTATGATACATTAATGTACACAATGTAGTTCTAGGAAAAAACAAGTTTTTGACCACCTCAATGCTTGGTTGATAAATCTGGTACTTGAAGGCATGGCTATTTCTTGTTCTTTTGTATGGCACTTAATAGTTGGTGCATCCACCACTCCAGTTTATCAGTCATTTTGTACATGCATACTATTAGTCATGCATTAGACATGTTTTGCCTGTCAAGCGATATCAAGTGAGCTGATATAAAGTTTTACTTTCTTCCTTTAACCCCAGACTGTGAGAGTAAATACGTGCCTTACAACGAAAGCTTGTACCAACCGCCAGAGAATCACATCAGCGACTACATTGTTGATGCCCTGCAGGGAAAGGTAAGAGTGTTCTTTCATCCTAACAGTTTCTGAGTCAAATTTTTGCACCATACCTTTATGTACTAAAAGCTGTTAAATTCATAGTACAATTTTTGTTGAATGTATGATTTTCAACAATGCTAAATGTGTTTAACAGGATAAGTTTTGTTTGAGTTTGAGTTTGAGTTTATTGTATAAAATCATGATGTTGCTTGTTGTAGGGCATCATGGAGCACACCCACCTGTTCTACGGTTACTACGAGAACACCATCCAGCGTATCCAGGAGACAGACGACTTCACGTTCACGTACAACCTTCCGCTGGCGTACCTGCTTACATCGCTCTCTTACTTCCTCATCAGCCTGGTGCTTATGGTCAGGAAGTGAGTACAAACTTCTGGGATTTTTGTACACTAAGTCTTACATTATACAGTACTGTGTGTAGTCCAGTGGTTAGCGACCCTGCCTTTGGACCAAGAGGTTGGGAGTTCGAATCCCGGCTGTTGTCGCTCTCCCCCGACATGCACGCTACTGTATAGGGCCGCAGTCCTTAGGACAGGATATTAAGCTGTGGTCCACTGTTCATTGTGCTTGTCGAAAAGAGCTAGTCCATGTTACAATGAACCTGTGGCTGTGAATATTGTACATAGCGCCTGTTTTCTTTGTTACGACCATTGGGAGATTAGCTCTTCAGTGAGCTAAAACTGGATCAAGAGCATTCTATCTGGTGTATCTAACTGAGAAGTTTAGGTGCCTATAAAAGATAGAGGCTACCCGGTATTTGCCAGATGGTCTCAGTGCTTAAACCTTCCCTGCCTTTCCTCCTGCAGTTCCGCCCAGGGTCTCCAGGAGTCTCTGGTGAGCAGTGAGGACAAGTTCTACACCTACTGCAACAAAGTGTTCGCCGGGTGGGACTTCTGCATCAACGATGGGCGAGCGGCGGACCTCAAACACGGGCAGATCAGATACGAACTCAAGGTGTGTTCACTACAGAAGTTTAACTTTCGAACTCCAAACCTGGTCACCTGAAATTAAAAGATGTTTAAGAAGATTAGGTTCAAGACACGAAAGAGTATGAAGGGGTCCGTCCCGGGTTAAGTGGATCAAACCTTAGTTACAGTCCGGTCTAACACAGTTTGTACAAAAAATGGTGTGGTTCACTGCTTAAGGTGGTTTAACAAAAATGCAAACTAAAACAAATTTAATGACAAAAAGGCTAAACTTCATGTCCAACACCAATAGTAAATTTGGACTTCCCTAATTTTTGGCTAACTCCGTCAGCTTTGTTCACAAAATGCACCTGTCTACTGCAGCTTCTGGGACATGACGTCAGAAACACATTATTGCAGCAGAGGGTCATACGTGTACATGGCAGATAACCAGATAAGTTATAATGTATTATACCAACATAGATGAACTTTCATGTTAAAACAAATTGTTCTTGTCCCAGACTGACCTAGAGGAACAGCGGATCCTGCAGAAGCAGGCCAAGAGGACGGGCGGAGAGAAGTGCCGCCTCTACAGCGTCCGGTTTATCGTCAACGTCTTTGTGTTGGCCATCCTCGGAGCTGGCGGGTTCCTTATCTACTACGCCAGTACCTTTGCTCTGCAGGTGAGGCATGCAAAAGGACATATGATTAATTCAAGTTTCAAGTTGATTACTGTTGCCGCAACATTTACTATAATGACACTGGGCAATTTTACAGACCTCATGTTTGCCATACACGCCTACCCATGGCTTGTTCAGTGGTTGGGCTCGTAGTTGGCACAGTCAAGTACATGATTGTATAATGTGCCTGACCTACTGTAGGCAGCAGGTATATTGACATGTACAAAATGTATCTTTGGATCTGTGGAAAAAAATTACCCGGTAGTATAATTCATATTATGTCTAGGGAACCACTACATGTATAAGGAATAGCAAAGTCACTGTTTTACCCTGTTTAAAAAGAAACAGACTGAAATGATTTAACTTAAAGTTGAAACATTTACGATGATTGTTTATTTATTTATCAGGATGTCCCTTAGTAATAGTCTTTGACTAGTCTTTGACCATGATTGTTACCATCTCCCCATCCAGTGGACGTCCCAGTTTGGCACAGACCCAAACACAGACTCCTTCCTGAAGCTGCTGGTGACCTACACGCCCTCCCTCACCATCACCGGCCTCAACATGATCGTACCCATCATCTTCGACAAGCTGGTCGGATTCGAGGACTACTCGCCGGAGTTTGAAATACAGATGACTCTACTCAGGTTGGTGGCGGTTGACTGTTTTTTATCATCACGTTGGTCTCTCTCTGTCGTGCTCTCACACTCTCCCTCTCTCTCTGTTTCTCTGCCTCTCTCTCTGTCTGGAACGTACTCTCCCTCTCTCTGTTGCGCTCTTTCTCTCCCATCATCTTCGACAAACTGGTCGGATTCGAGGACTACTCGCCTGGGTTCGAGATACAGATGACGCTACTCAGGTACATGTACTTGGTGGCCTGCTGTCCATTGTGATGAATGAGTGAATGAATGAATGAATGAGTGAGTGAGTGAGTGAGTGAGTGAGTGAGTGAGTGAGTAAGCGAGTGAGCGAGTGAGTGAAGGAAGGAATGAAGGAATCTGTTAAATGCATATAACTTAATTTGCTACTGAAAGATTTCAGTCAGTTTTTTTAAATAACAGTTCTGAGCATCCTATTAGAGTAGACATTATTCATTGCCTCCATACTATTTCAGTGAAAGACAAACAGCATGATTGTCACAGCTTTTGACAATCATAACAATTATAGCTTCAACATCATCACCTGGTGAACTGAAAAATGTTTACTTTCCTTCCAGAACGGTGTTCCTGCGGTTGGCCTCCGTAGCTACCCTGCTGGGAACCCTGTACACACAGATCGCCTGTTCAACATACGCAGACCCTGAGTGCCAGGTCTGCGATGTGGAAATCAGGGTACGTTCATGCAAACTTTCATTATTATAACAGTTACTGTTAGTAGAATATCATATACTGTTTGTGGAAATTTGGTTGCAAATGTTTGAAGATTGGAGGCATACATGTAGAGTAGCGACTGTGATGATCATTCTTGTCTGGTCACAAAGCCTTTTGGTTTGAATTTTTTTCAATTTTCAGGTTATCACATCTTGAAATCTTTCATTACATGTACTATTGGAGCACAATAGTATCTCATTGGCTTATTAAAATGTGTACATGAATTTGTTTAAGATTTTAAGTCTGTTAGATAATGCTTTGAATTCAGAGGAGCTTTTTTTTTACTCTACATCATACCCAACAGTAAAGCTCTGTTTCTGATGTACAATTAAGTAGCTGTCAACTTTTGCAAAGTAATTTCTAGTTTGAGTTGGTTACTGTAGACTTACCATAAAACGTTTAATTGTTGCAGTGTTGGGAGACGTACGTTGGACAGGAGATGTACAAGCTTGTCATCATGGACTTCCTGGTGGGCACAGCCGTCACATTGTTCGTGGAGTTCCCCAGAAAGTGAGTAAAATGACTAAGTATGTACTTGGGTTAGGGTTGTTGAGTCTGAACTTCAAGGCTCTGGGTTCATATCCCTTGCAGGACTCAATGATCTGTCCTTGGGAAAGGTATTTGACACCTATATGTATTTCCTCAGACCCAGGTGCAGTATCTAGTTTCGGTTAGAGATATCTTCTTAAATGGGATATAAAGCCAGCAGTTCTATGTTAAAGATCCCACAGTTACTGCAATTCTGGGAAAGAATTACTCAATGAAAAGTGGCCTATTCTGACAGTCGAAGCTAATGAGAGTATGGCTACATGTCCTTCATTTTTTTGTATGTGTGTTGAACTTACATGTATTTTCCATTTCTACGTTTTGACGGGTGGTTGAGCAAAGGGATCAGTCTGTTGCAGTCATCAATGAGCAAACAAGGGCACAAAACAAACAAATAAACAAATAACAATGTAAAAAAAAAAACATTTTATCCTCCAGGTTCATTGTGTCACGGTTTAAGGACAAGCTAGAGGATGTGGTGGGGTATCAGGAGTTCCAGATCCCGAAGAATGTGTTGGACATCGTCTACTCGCAGACGTTGTGCTGGATTGGAACATTCTTTGCCCCCATGCTGCCTGCCATTTGCGTCATCAAGACCTTCATCTTCTTCTACCTGAAAAAGGTCAGTTTGGATCTGGAGGCAATGACAAAGGATGGTATTGGAAGACATTGACGGCCCGCCTTGGTGCCAAGCACTGAAATGTGGCAAAAATGATGATGATGTTTTGTGTGCTTTGTAGTGCACTCAGTCTGGTAGCATATTGGCATGTCTATGTCTGTAACCTCCATTCACATATTTTGTCTGCCACTTTTTGATTAAGGGCAAGCCTTTGAAGGAATACAAAGTGGCACTCAAATGATTACTACCTACCTTGTCCCATGACCGACACTGGTCATCGGGGGAACAAGTCAGACTTTGCAGAAAAATACTGAATAAATTACTAACAAAATCTAAAAGTTCCAATAGTGATACAGTACACAATTGTCATAGTTTGAAGTACATCTAGTATGACAAAGTCTTTATTATGATCAAGTAAGAAAGTAGGTCTTTATAAACTTACATTTTTGTTGTCTTGTGACCCCACAGCTCAGCCTCATGCACAACTGTGTCCCGTCGACTAAGCCTTTCCGGGCGTCTAAGTCTCGCACGTTCTTCATGGTCATCCTCCTGGTGTCCTTCCTGCTGTGCATCATCCCTGTTGGCATCGGCATTGTACAGTAAGTAACAATAATTACACATTGAAGGATACATGTAGTAATTATTCTTACAATTACAATGCTTAGAGTTAGATGTTTAAGGATTAGGTGTAACAAGTCGCTCGGTGTAATATATCCAGCTGCGGCTGCGACGCGTGCCTGTGAGGCTGGTGTATAACAGCAGTTATACCGGCTATACAGATACAGTCAAACCTGTACTAGCGGTCACCTTTGTATAGTGGTCACTCGGCCATAGCGGTCAGTTTTTGCCGGTCCCTTGAATTTTTCCCATTGACGTAAGCATTAAGAATCGTGTCTATAGCGGTCACTGTTCAACGCGGTCAGCGGTCACCCCATTCCGGTCCCGCCGGCATGTCAACACCGCCGATAGCGGTCGCGGCTGGCCGTAACCCGCTAAGCACCACGGCCGTAACACCACCCCACCTCGGGCTACGACCGTTATGAGCCTTGTGATAATTTTCCGATCGCTACATTACTAAAATGTGAACTGAAAATTAGACTCCATATGTGTATGAAATAAAGGAAAACTGACTTTTGACACGAAGTTTCTGCGGTCGCGGGTGTCTTTGATATCTGCGTTTTCCCCAACACCAGTGCCGTGCGTGCCGCATGGAGCTTTCAATGGACTCGGCCGCTCGGCGAAGATTACGGCAAATTATCTTTACAAAAAAACTTAAGAATATCCATATTTGGTTTCTTGATTCCTTGAAATGCGTAGATATGTGCATAGCTTCCGTTTTTCATGGGCATAATTAAGAAATTTGGCTCGAAAATGCGTTTCGTATTTTTCCAAGATGGCGCATGTTGGCTGCAGAGGGAGGTCAATTGGGGTCATCGGAAGACTCCACTGTTATGGAGGTAGATACACCGAGTTTTATTTAACTTCATTAGCGTCAAATGACGTAATTACATTATGAAAACATTTGAAATACCATTACTACAATTAATTTTAGATGTAAATTTAACACTGTAGTAGATATTTTAGAAAAGATATAAGTCTGAAAGGAGAAAATTCTCTGTTGACTACCACATTGGCATAATGGTAGAGGCAGACAACCCACGCGGGGAGAAACCCAAGCCGTAAACAAAGGAGAGTTTTCGCTAAGTTTTCATGTTCAAAAACGACCAAAAACGGAAAGTAACTGGCAACTGACGAACAATTATTTTGCTGTTAACTAAATAGACAGCATCTTGGTACAAAATAACTTATTTACGTGGTTGGAATTCGCTGTGGCGTATGTCGGTCGCGCGAAGCAAGTGTTCACCAAAGAACAAAAACATGGCGATGTCGTTCTCTTCCACTTTTCGACTAACAACAACAACTACTAGTAACGTGGCGATTGCGGAGAAACGATGGCGAAAGCGGAAAGACGGACGCCAAACTTATTCCAAAAGGTGGAAGTGATTCGACTGGCAGAGAGAGTGAGAAGAAATCGTCGAAAGCTGAGCTTAGATTAAATGATTTTGCAGTCGATAGAAATTTGTTTGGAGTTGAAAATTTGTTGCTTGATTTGCTTTCTTTTCTTTAGCCACATGTAGTACTAGTATGTACACAAGAACAGTAAATGACAACCAGTGATTTTGTATGTTTTAAATTATGTGAATGGTTTCATTGTCCCAGAATAGATTAACTGAATATGTTGAGTGTAACTGTATCTTTGATGTCAAGTTAATGTTTCCATGCAATATTTCTGTATTTCTTTTTTTTTCAAGCAAGTACAAAATAAAGTACAACTAAAGCAAAAGAACAACAAATTATTGAACTAACACATGTACATATAAAAGGGGTTTACCTTTGCAAATGTATGTATTCATATGTTTCAGAATAAAGACATCACTGTTGGTACTCAAAGCATGTGTCCCTTTTTTTTTTGGGGGGGGGGGGGTCAACTAACCGGCTGTTTCTCTATAGTGGTCACCTGGCCATAGTGGTCAAATTTGGCCAGTCCCTTGAGTGACCACTATAGGCAGGTTTGACTGTACATTATATAGCATGAAAAGTTAAGCTTCTCAAATCCATTATGGCACCTGAGTATTTACAAGGTCACGAACAGCCAGCAAACAAGGTCATATAACAGGACCCTTAACGTTGTGCATTACAATGATATAGGT